TCATACAAGAAGTTCTAAGTGAAAAGGTAAATTACTAATTGAAACCAAAATTTATGCAATTACTAATTGGTAATCATTCCAGCCCCAAAATGTCATTCAGAATTTACGAGTGTAGAATGACAAACTAAAAGCGTGAATAACATTTCCCGATTCTTACATTTTATGGTTTGATTTGTTTTTCATTTTTGGTGATCAGGTGCCAACATTTGTTATGCACTCATCAGTGTTCGTCTCGGGGCTAGCCTTCTCCACATACTTGTCATGGAGACTGGCCTTGGTAGCATTTCCAACACTACTTCTCCTAATAATACCAGGAATGATCTATGGGAAATACCTCATGTACTTGTCGAAAAAATCATACAAAGAGTATGGGAAAGCAAACAGCATAGTAGAGCAAGCTCTAAGCTCCATAAAAACTGTTTATGCATTCACTGCCGAGAGGAGAATTGTGGAAAGATATTCAGCAATATTGGAGAGAACAAGTAGGCTGGGGATGAAGCAAGGCATAGCAAAAGGTCTGGCAGTGGGAAGCACAGGGCTGTCTTTTGCGATATGGGGATTTCTGGCATGGTATGGAAGCCATTTGGTGATGTATAAAGGTGAAAGCGGTGGGAGGATTTATGCGGCTGGGATCTCTTTCGTATTGAGTGGACTGTATGTGTTTCATCCATCTCATGCATTATTATTATGCCTTTTCTTCTTAATTAATTTGTGTTTATCTCAATTAAGCACATGCATGTTAATAATTTCTGATGATTGATGGTGATGACTGATAATATTGGACTTTAAGAGAAGTTCAAATGATTTGATTGACAAGTACTTATCTTTAATTTTTAGTAGATTCAGTTTAATGTGTGAAAATTTAGATTTTTTTAGGTCAAAATGTGTGAAAATTTCGATAACTCCATTAATCGTGTCGATCAGGAATATATAGCTTCAAAAATGAAGTATGTGAAATTCTAGAGTCAATCTCCTAATTCGAAGTTACAATTACGTTTTTTTATGGTTTTATTTTTCTATTTTTTAAACTTCCCTAATTTATATAAATAATGAAGTAGTACAATGATGATACCTTTCAACATACATGTGGATTTTCTCAACTGTCACAAGTTAATTTACTCTTGGATTTTAATTTAGCATAGCTATCTATGTTGTTGATGTTAGAAGTGATTGAATCGATGATCTTAATTATTTTTAATTTGTTGGCAATTAAAAGATGCAGTGATGAGATTTAACTAGCAAAAGATTTCATGTTTAGAAAAATTTTGTCATGAACAATTTTTATGCATCATATGCCGCGCTCCATGCATAAACTATCCAATATTTACATGAACATATATACTTTTGGCCTCATAATGTGAATGTAAATTATGCAACAGATCCCTGGGAATGGCACTTCCGGATTTGAGGTACTTCACAGAAGCTGCGGTTGCTGCTACACGAATATTCGACCGGATAGACCGTAGGCCCTTGATCGACGGTGAAGACACCCAAGGACTTGTTTTAGACAACATTAGAGGCGAACTAGAATTCATTGGTGTCAAGTTCACATACCCTTCTCGTCCAGATTCCGTGGTCCTCAGAGATTTCAATCTGAAAGTTGAAGCAGGGAAGACCGTTGCTCTTGTTGGTGCGAGTGGAAGTGGCAAGTCCACAGCAATTGCATTGGTGCAACGTTTTTATGATGCGGATGATGGGGTTGTTCGGATCGACGGTGTCGATATAAGGACACTTCAGCTGAAATGGATTAGATCGAAAATGGGACTTGTTAGTCAAGAACATGCTTTGTTTGGGACGTCAATTAAGGAGAACATTATGTTTGGTAAGCTTGATGCCAATATGGATGAAGTCACAGCTGCAGCTATGGCTGCCAATGCTCATAATTTCATAAGGCAACTTCCACAAGGGTATGAGACCAAGGTGAATATTTATGCACTTTTGAAAGGGTTTTTAATTTTGAGCATTTGATCCTGATCATCAGATTTACAGTGTCATTTTAATTGACATATCCATACATATATGTGACAGATTGGAGAGAGAGGAGCACTTTTGTCTGGTGGACAAAAGCAGCGGATAGCTATTGCCAGAGCAATTATCAAGAACCCTGTAATTCTACTACTTGATGAAGCAACGAGCGCTCTTGACTCTGAATCTGAGACTCTGGTCCAAAATGCTCTTGATCAAGCCTCCATGGGGAGAACCACCTTGGTAAAAAGAAAATGTTGATTGATATATACCTTAATTAGTGCATTAATTAACTTCATCATCTCACAGCTTTTTAACATGAACAGGTTGTTGCCCACAAGCTTTCCACGGTTCGAAATGCAGACCTAATTGCGGTGGTCAGTGGCGGTTGCATCATCGAAATAGGCTCACACAACCAACTCATCAACGCCCAAACTGGTCACTATGCAAAACTAGCAAAGCTACAGAGACAATTCAGCTGTGACAATGTTGACCAAGAACAAATTTCAGTGTCTTCGGTCACAAGAAGCAGTGCTGGCAGGCTAAGCACAGCAAGATCAAGCCCTGCATCAACGTTTGCAAAATCACCGCTTCCCCTTGAGACCTCACAGCCTTTGTCACACCCCCCAACTTCCTTCTACCGCCTTCTGTCTTTGAATTCCCCTGAATGGAAGCAAGGCCTAATTGGAAGCCTCTCTGCCATAGCATTCGGGTCAGTCCAACCTGTCTATGCCTTAACCATAGGAGGCATGATATCAGCCTTCTTTGTGCAAAGCCACGAGGAAATGCGTGCTCGAATTCGTACATATTCCTTGATTTTCTCTGCACTTTCTGTAATCTCCATCACCTTGAATCTCTTGCAACACTACAACTTTGCTTACATGGGTGAGCAGCTCACGAAAAGAATCCGGTTACAAATGCTTCAGAAGATCTTGACCTTTGAAACAGCTTGGTTTGATGAGGAGCAGAATTCAAGTGGGGCATTGTGTTCAAGATTGAGCAATGAGGCTTCCATGGTTAAGTCCCTTGTGGCAGACAGGGTGTCCTTATTAGTCCAAACCACTTCAGCTGTCACAATTGCCATGATCATGGGGCTAGTTGTGGCTTGGAAGCTAGCACTCGTTATGATTGCGGTCCAACCACTCGCAATCCTATGCTTCTACACAAAGAAAGTTTTGCTGTCTAGCCTATCAGCCAACTTTATCAAAGCACAAAACCATAGCACTCAAATTGCAGTTGAAGCAGTGTACAATCATAGAATTGTGACTTCATTTGGAAGTGTGGGAAAAGTACTTGAATTATTCGATGAGGCTCAGGAGGCGCCGAGGAAAGAGGCGAGGAAGAAGTCATGGCTAGCTGGGCTTGGGATGGGGTCAGCTCAGTGCCTAACATTTATGTCATGGGCACTGGACTTCTGGTATGGTGGTACACTAGTAGAAAAGGGGCAAATATCAGCTGGGGATGTGTTCAAAACATTTTTCATATTGGTGAGCACTGGTAAGGTTATAGCTGAAGCTGGGAGTATGACTTCTGATTTAGCCAAGGGTTCAACAGCAGTTGCATCTGTGTTTGAGATTCTCGACCGCCACTCACTAATTCCAGGCTCTCGTAATGTAAGTAACAAATTAGTATCCTAATCATATCTGTTCTTTTTCTTTTTCTTTTTGAAAGCAGAAGTTTACTTGGGATAATTTTATCTTTTTTAGGTGGGGGATGAAGATGGTTCTATTGGGAATGGGATCAAGTTAGAGAAAGTAACTGGGAGCATAGAACTGAAGAAGGTTGATTTTGCATACCCAAGTAGGCCAGATACATTGGTGTTGCGCCAATTTAGCTTGGAGGTGAAGCCAGGAACAAGCATTGGACTTGTTGGGAAAAGTGGGTGTGGCAAGTCAACTGTGGTTGGATTGATACAAAGATTTTATGATGCAGAGAGTGGGTCAGTGAAGGTGGATGGTGTGGACATAAGGGAATTAGATGTTCAATGGTATAGGAGGCACACAGCCCTTGTTAGCCAAGAGCCCGTGATATACTCTGGTACCATTCGCGACAACATCATGTTTGGGAAGCTTGATGCCCCAGAGAATGAAGTTGTAAAGGCCGCCAGAGCAGCCAATGCCCATGAATTTATCTCGTAAGTCTATTATCAAATCGAAAAATCGTTTAGCCATTTGATTATCATAATTATGTTTTTTTAAACATTGTGTTCTTCTATTTAGGTCATTGAAGGACGGTTATAATACAGAGTGTGGTGAAAGAGGGGTGCAGTTATCAGGAGGGCAAAAGCAAAGAATAGCAATTGCAAGAGCAATACTTAGAAACCCAACAATACTATTGCTAGATGAAGCAACAAGTGCACTTGATGTGCAATCTGAGCACCTTGTGCAAGAAGCTTTGGACCGCATTATGGTGGGAAGGACAACAGTTGTGATAGCACATAGGCTTAACACCATCAAAAACCTTGAAATGATAGCATTTGTTGCAGATGGGAAGGTGGTGGAGAAAGGCACATATGCTCAGCTCAAGCACAAGCGTGGTGCCTTCTTTAACCTTGCCACCTGTCAAACTTAGGTGCATGTAATAAATCTCTACTGTAAAAGTAAAATGGTGTATGTTGCCGTAAACTGTAAAATTAGCTAGTAGCAGCAGCATCTTTTGGGTTGGTTAGTTCTGTGGCTTTGTGCCTGAGGATTTAGAGTTTTTTCAATGAGGGGTTTTTGACTCTTAGACAGGAACTTATTGCAAAGGCCTGAATGTAATATTGGGTTGGCCCCAAATTAATGCTGGTGTTGAAAGTCAAGAACAAATAATAATAAAAACTATATATATGCTAATTGTATTATCCTGCAGATTTCTTTTATTTTGTTTGTGTCTTTGCACAAACTAGAATTTGATTTAACATAAGAGAGCCTAGGAAGCTCATTCTTATACTGTCTGTGACAAAACAGTCACAGACGACCTTTGTTTTTATTCCAACATTAAACTAAACACTTTAGATAGAACAATTCATGGTTGAATTTGGTTCACCCTTTCCTTCACTTGGGGCGCTGAGCAGTCTCTGAAGGTCCAACTTGTCTCACCAGATGAAAGTAAGGCTCTACTTTCCCTCTCAGAGTCTCATGGGCTAGCTTAATCAGCTGGAGCTGAGCCTTGGTCCTGCTCACATGCATTCATGGATCACGGACAAGTTTATAATCACTAATTAGCTTACAATACCAGGTCTAATTAAGTGGCTATTAAAATTAGAAAACTGAAATATCATCATCACCTTTCGAGGTCCCCTGCCTTGATACTTTCCCTCATCTGGTTCGTCTCGCTCCAAACCTTGTTAGCACCAACGCTGTGAATTGATCATGAGAATAATGTAGAAACTAACAAAATGAGCAATGATGATAATTGCTAAGCACCCAAATAATGTATCTTCAGAACAAAACAAAAAAAACTTAAGCCAATCTAACAAGCACCTACCTGGCGCTGCTACCTTTGAGCTGATGGAGGGACTTGTCCAGCTTGTTGACATCATAGGGGGTTCTCTCCCTTTGGAAACAGAAATGAAACAGATCGGATTGATAGATGTTTTAATGTTAAAGTGCATGCATCGTGTATCATTAAAGAAATTAATGTCAAACTAAGTTGTATTAGTACTCACAGTGCTTGCTCCACAGTAGCTATCAGTTTGGTAGAGTCCCTAATGTACAAGGTCATAACCTCCTCTGCAAAGTTGGGATTGTCAACATCTTCCAATTGCTCCATCTGCATAAACTGCTTGTCCAGAATTTCCTGCAACATATATATTCATCTTCATCATGTACAACACAATATATCTCTGCAACTGCAACTTGTACTTTATTTCAGCTCTTATCTCATGAAGAATGCATTTTCAATTTGTCACACTCAAATCATGAGAGTCTGTAAAACTTCTCAAAACCCATGAAGGAAAACAAGACCAATGTGCAGGATTATTGAAAACAAAATGAAAACTAGGACCAACATGCCATGCTAATTCTAATTAAAGAAGAAAAATAAAAAATAAAACCTCATCAAACAAAGATTGCCTCATGCTTGCAACTTGTTGGCGCAAGGGATTGCTCCCCATTGTTGCTCAGATATTCAAAGATTGGATTGACAGTACCACAATGGTAAGCCAAGAAGATGAAATATATATATATTGAGGAAAAGAAATCAGGATGCAACACGTTTTATAGGCATGCATTTACTCATTCTGAAGAAGTGCAGATTACAGAATCTAAATAGGAGAAATGGCTGATTGTGTTGGCATGTAAGACTGGTGGAACAATATTTGCCATAGTCGTATGTAAGATATGATGTGCAGTGCAGCCAATTATGACAAGGCTGAAACTAGTGCCTTGTTTCAAAACTTGTTTCTTGAGCTTACTTTGCTTAGAGCACTCGCCGGGCAGCGGTGGATGGCTGTCAACTGTTAATGTGTGTGACTAATCACTCATGCGCGTCAACTCATGTGCGTTCAGGCAATTGTTCTTAGCATCTTATTACCATATATCCTCCTTGGATTGTAAAATAAATGCATAGAGATTTTGTTTGTTTATTTGCAATAGATATGGATTCTGGAGTAAATTCAATAAACACAGCCATTGTTGAGGATCTAGATTGCATACTCAAGTAAACCATTTGAAACTACTTTTTACATTACTTAAGCAAGATTATGCTACTTGTTTCTATGGGCGTTCACAATTCAATCCAATCCAATCCGCCCAAAACGGAGCAACAAAAACGCTAATTTGGTTCATTTTGATAACTTTTGAGTAGATTGTGTTACAAACATTTTCCAATGTGGTCCTACATGCATTTGATAGAGAGGAAACAGAGATAATCTAAACCCTTTGACAAAATTATGTTTGTGTACATCACATGATCAAAACACTTTTGACCTAATTCTTTAAAGGTTGTGTTTCAATTTAAGTCGATGATAGCTTTATTAGTATCTTCTTATTTTGGTGCTCTCTGCGGAACTCATGGTATTTTGGTTTCAAGACATGGAAACAAGAATAGAAAGAAGCATTCATTGTACAATGCAACATTAAATTATGTCCATCAGAATGAACTTGACAACAGGACAAATATCCATGACTTTGATTTCACATACCAACACATCCCCTTCTTCATTGTTGCAAATAATCATAATAAGCCTATATTTTCTATTTAACGCATTGAACGGAAAATAAATAATAAAAAGCATGCACATGATGAAGCTTTTGTGTTTCAAAATGCTGAGTTCCGAATTTTCCCCCCCAGAATTCCACATTTTTTTAGTCCGAAAGAAGACTGGTGTGTCGAAAGAAAAAGGGTGAGAGCAAATAGCTAAAAAGGAAATCTTTCTTGCCGTCATGCTTTCTTTTCTTTTCTTCATCCTCAAGCAAATATATTATCGAACAACTTGCAGTTTTCTTCATGATCTTTTACTCTTTTCTCGACCAAACCAAAATTAGGAAATTGATTGAGTTTATTTTTGTTTTTTTTTTAAAAAGTAGTTTGTGTTGTTTCTTTTTTTTTTTTTTTTTTTTTTTTTTTTTTTTTTTTTGTTGTTACAGTTTGAAGAGATTGATCGAGTCAGCTCTGTACAGGTCAGATAAATGTAGCTGAAGGATGAAGATGGGGGATGCTAGCCGAGAATCACTACATCTTCCCTGTCCTCTCACCTCTGAACTTGAGAGGCTGAGATAGAATTGGATTTATAGGACCAGAGAGAACCCAATCCATTTCATTGCCTTTGCTGGCGTTTTCTTTTTGCTTTCAGATCAACAACAATGATGGATATGTTATCGGAACTGTTTCTTCCATATGCTATTTCAGTGAGATAATCAGCAACAGCTTGTGCCGGAGGAATGTCATCAGTCAAACTGGAGATTGACCTTCGCCGCCTTCTTAGAAGATGCCGAGCCACCTCTCCCACTTCTTCATTAGTCATGACATCCCAAAGTCCATCACTTGCCAAAATCAAACACTCGTCCTCATCGGTCCTTGTCGTGAATGAAATCTCAGGGACTGGAATTATCCACGGCCTTAGATACCGATCACCTGAAACGTAACCACAACCATTCAAAGTACCATAAAATTATGCTTGCATTAAGCATAATGAAATACGGCAACTTATCAAAATGAGATTATGGTACTAGTTTAAACGTCTAATTGAGTCTTCTATCTCTGGACATGGCACATTCACATAGTTGCCTCGGTCTGGGAAGATAAAACTTTTGACAACTGCAAAACAGAAGACTGCAAATTAAGCAGAGAAATAGAGATGAAAACCTATAGCTCTGGACATGGCAAGAACTCCAAACACCCTAGCACCATTCCAGTTTATGACTTTCCCTCCCCCTCCTTCAATCCTCAGGAGTTCGTCTTCTCTATCAGGCTGTAAAAGCAACAACAAGAAACAGCGGGTCCTTAGTCTTGTTAAGAAAAATAGTGTCAACAATATAAACAAAGAGCCTAACTCATGAATATTCAATAGCTAGCTGGCAATAACTGGTCAAGTACTTCCCTCTAATCTTTTCAACCTGCCTCTCCATGTTCAGACAAAAAAAAAAAAAAAAAAAAAAAGAATGATCTTAACTCTCCCCAGTAAGAAGGATTCTTTTTTCTTACTTAATAGACCGTGCAACTTTAGCTCTAAAAATTGAATGCATAATGAACAATTACCAGAAGCAATGAAGCAGAAGAGTCCAAATCTAAAAAAAGTATAAAGAATAGAAGAATTAATGATGTGACCTTCTGATCAACAGTTAAGGGGATTGTTTCTGTCCCTCGGCAAAGAATTGCCCTCGAGTCACCACAATTAGATGTGATAATCTGGCAACCAGATAGAATGGCAACAACTGCAGTTGAACCAACCATCTCTGGTGCAATAGCCTCCTCAAGGAGCTCATTGTCAGCCTTCTCAAAACCAATTGAGAATGCTGTTTCCCACTTCCTCTGCCATTCGTAGCCATCAACCGTCTCCCGATCCCACTCTTGTGCTATCACTTCATGCATCCGCTCAGCACAAAATTTAGCCACCTATATATGGTGTCAAATATGGATAGATTAGTTCTTGTCTCACTAACAACGTACGGGTAGCAGTAGTTCCAATATCCACAAAGTAAAACACTTAACTTGCAGTAAGTTCGGACATACAAGTCTAAATCAACTAAACGAACAGAGTCAGATATGCAGATGTCTGATATTTGGTTATATGTTAATCCTATTGTCTTCCTGGAAAATATGATGATTAGTTGATAATACAATATTTGTTAAACCATCTGATATGCCATGTCAAAATTGTTATTGATTAAATAAAACATATCTGAATCTGAATATGCAGTTCCAATTGGTAGTTTGATAATAAACCAATAAACAAAACATTAAGCATCACCATGACAAGGAAACAACTCAGCCATTGCCTAAACAAGTGCAAGAAGTCTTTCCTCCAATCAAATAAAGTCTTAATTAACAAATTATTTCCAGTAGAAAATCTGTTACAGAAATAAATGTCAAAACACTAAGGATTTGTCCGTCCATATCCGGTGAGACATCTTGAGAAAGCACCCAAACAATGAGATTCTAAAAAGAAAATAATATAAAGGGACCCAGTAAACCACCGCCCTCTTATAATAAAGCTCACACTAAACACACTAAAAAGAATGGTCCCGCCTAGATTTTTCTTTCCAAGAAAAATGGAACCTCTATGATCCTGCTGATTCGTCTTCTTCAGGCAATAACACACTCAGCGCCCCCACCAGCTACCAAAATTATTATTCAATTCATTTTTCCATAAATACAAAAACCAACCAATAATCTATTTAGATACAGTTCACCGATTACTCAATAAGAAAAACTAAAATACTAGACCAGTACTCTCTGCCAAAATGCTTGGTGAACAATAACAACGCAGCCCCAGATTTAATTTCATAAATTCATGGAGGGCCCAGTAGGTCATGCTGTTGATACATGATGCGCCTGTGACGACAGGACAGAGCATGCCGGTGACGGTAGAATTATCCCCCCGATCCCCATGCACCCGATGCCAAACAAGAATAGGCGCGCCCAGCTCACTGAGCCCGAAATTTTGCACGGATTCTAAAGCCACGTGTCTATGCTGAAAACGAAACTCCCCATAAACTCCAGTAATGTGGACCACTCTGTGCTGGACACGTGTCGGCTTTCTTCAGACACAATGATGGCTCCAAAATAAATATTCATACTGCTACAGTCTAGTGTTTACGCTAGTATTATTTTATTTTCTTCTTCTTCAATTTAGATTATAAATTATAATTTTTTTTTGGTCTGAGATTAAAATTATAAATAAAAAAATAGATTTATCAGATTTTTGAAACGGACGCGTCACGCGCGTCCAACCAAATTGTTCCACTCAATTTTTTTTTTTCTGGAAAAATAAAAAAGAAACAAAAAAAGAAATTCAAAACTAGAGCAATGGAGGGTGCACCTGATTGCCGCCATGGCCGTCGTAGACGCCGAAGAAATGAACGGGGGAGATCTCAGAAGAGGTTTTGGAACCGGGGGCCATACAACCGCCCACGTGATCGCATGTGCGAGACATGAAGCCAGGAATCACAGCGACGGCGTCCTCCATCTCTCTCCTTCTCCCAATCACCGAAGTGAAGCCCCAAGTCACTCCCTTGTTGTTCCTCCCGACGCACTTGGGCCTCGCCACCGCCACTCTCAGCTCGTCTCCGGTCAGGAGCGTCCGGTCCACCAGAACCGGCACCAGCAACGCCGGAATCTCGCCGGAGCTGCTCGTCGTCGTTCTAGAGACCTCTCCGGAGCTCGTGGTGCTTCTAGAGTCATCTGCGGTGAGTATCGAGGACGGGCTCGAGCTTGTGGACGCCAGTTCGAGGTCGGGGAGTGAGTTGACTCGCTCGAGTTGCTCGTCCTCTGTGGATTCCATGCTGCCGAGAGAGAGAGAGAGAGAGAGAGAGAGAGAGACAGAGAGAGAGAGAGAAAAAAGAGGGAGAGAGAGAAAAGAGAAAGGGAAGAATGGGATAAAATAAGAGGAAGGGACAGCTAAGAAGGCGACACGTGTGAGGAGATATAAGTTCGATGACACACGCATCCGTAGTGAATGAAGAGAAAGAAAAAAGAGGCATTGATTGCAGTCGTACTCATTTGCTTTTCGCTGCACCGCTACGTGTCTTGTTTACAGATGGCCCTGCCACGCTGGAGAGCTGTGGTTCTCTGCGGCAGCATGTTGCGGCTTGGTCTCTGCACCCGCTATCAACGCCTCATCTGTAGTCCCCTGTGCTGCAGATTGTCTGGTCAATCCGTGGACCGTGAGAAGTCAGCAACCGGTTTGATGACCGGGCATATGTGACATTCGGAGCTTCCGCGTTTTCCGTATTGTGAGCGCGATGTAGTGGATTTTTTCTGCCTATATCCATGAGGAATCTAATGTACGCATAAGGTGGACCCCAGCTAATGGGTACACCATCTCTATAATAGCTAATAGGTGGCACGTTGGCAAGAAGTGGGGCCAGCCCATTAGGTATAATTTGACATTTTTTACGGAAAAAGTGCTAGCGAGTAAATAATGGATTAGAGCGGTGGGAAATTTCGTAACAGTAAAAACAAGAAAAAAACCTGCTGAAGTGCCACGTGGGAGTTGCGTTCTATCTGATGAATTATTCATCACACGGTTCGCGTCATCGTCCTCTATACCGTAGAGAAAAGAGAATGGAGCCCGTTAAGAATCCCCACAGCGAACGAGGGGAAGTGGTGGATGGGACCCGTTGTATCGGATCATGTCAATTCAAGGGGACCTGATATGATCAGATCGAACGGCACTCAGGCCGAGTGACGAGTTGTATCTCAACACGTTGCCCTCGATGGCCCAGTCCGGTATGCGTTCTTTTACATGCAATCATCCATGAGTGGCTAATAGCATGTTTCAGGTTCCATCTCTCCCTCTTTTTCCAATATCACTTGTATAGAATAAGAAAAGGGTAATAATTTCCTCACTCTAATTTTATTCACTTATACTTTTTTTTTAGTTATAAAATGAAGTGTAAATGAATAAAATTGGAGTGGAGAAATCACCACTCTAAAAAAAATATGCAAATAGTTATATGAATTTCCATTCCATAGTATCGCTTGTATAGAATGAAAAAACCTTTGCAAATAGTTATATGAATCTAATTGGGATCTCAGCTGGATAGGAAATACTTTTCTACTCCCGTTTGCATGGCCCTAAAAAAAAGATAGGAAAAAGAAAATACTCTTTCTATTAAGGGATCCCTCAAATAATTTTATTTGAGGAACGCCCTTTGAGTACTCTATAATTTTTTTTCCAACGATTCAAGCCATCTATTTTTTAAGTCTTTATTCAAGTATCATCTTTGAAAAAAATTAGACAAATTGGAAACCGTTTAAACATCTAATTGTGTCCTACAAAATCAATGAACACAGTACTTCAAGAAAGTACTAAAATTCAATAATTTAATTGAGTGGTCAAATGATATTGAATTTAAGTGATTTTTTACAAAGATAATCTTCAAATAAATATCTACTAAATAGACGGTTTAGATTAATGAAATCCAATATATGTGGGTTCTACAAAAGTATCCCTCAAATAAGCTTATTTGAAAAATTCCTTAATAGAAGCTATGTGTGTGTATATATATATATATAAAAATAAAATTTAGGTTGGAAATGGGAAGGTGATTTTATTAATCAAGGAAACTTACTGATTAAGATTGTTCATTGGTAAAGAAAAGTTAATTTGGTAAAGCTTTTGCTATTTTACTTACGATTACGTAGTGCCACGTTTCAGGGCCTTTGCGTGTTCAAGTATTTAATCAAATCTACCACCAATTTTTATATGAGATTTGTACCGACAATTAATCGACGCAGCAAGAATGACCACTAAGCTGAAAGGGAGAGGACGAAAACAAAAAAAAAAAACGAAAAAAGGAAAAGAAAAAGGGAGTGGTTGTCTTTCGTATGTAGTTTAGAACGAATAATCAATTATATAACAATGCTGTGACACCAAACTTCAGTTTTATATGTGCCTAACTTTTTCTAGACAGATGGAATACATGATGAAGCCACCTTTCTCATTATTATGTTATAATAACCGATTAGTCACATTTTTTAATTTTTTTTAATAGGTAGTAACCATTTAGTTTAGTAGCCTAATCTCCACTTTATGGAGAAAACGGAAGGGATTTAGTGAATATATTCAGTGCGAAATATATTTATGGAGTAACGAGGAAAGCCAATGCCCCAATTGCCGACTCTCTTGTCGGGAGGACGTACACCTCAAGATTTCCGAGTACTTGTAATCTTCTACAAATCATATCTTAACGAGCAAGTTCATATGTTTTTACACTTTTAAAACTTGGAATCTAGAATGTTTGAAAGATTTTAGCTCCGTCCTCTCTCAACATTGAATCATTGATCAAGGCCTCGTCCTAGGCTTCGCCCCAAATTACGACTTTAAGCGAAAGATAAACATGTTGTGGGCGAGGAACCCACCACACAAAACTTTTGGGAAAAGAAACTTATAAACAGAATCATGGATAAGCCCAAGCAGGCCCGAAATCAACATGTTTTTTTTTAGGCTTTGGCCCTTCCCATCGTTTTTTTTTTTTTTTTTTTTTGTTTTTTTTGTTTTTTTTTTTTTTTGGATCCCTTGACAGCATTTGACTCGTGCTTAATTATAAAGTTCCCCGCCGGCGTCGCTGCGCTGGCTCTCCTCCACTTGGAGAGCACCCATCCCTCTTTCTTTAGCTATGTTCTTATATTATTTCTTTTAATTTTAATTAGGATTAAGGAGTGCTTTTAAGCCATTACGATCGAAGAAGTACACTTTGTGTTTAAAAAAGCTGTTAAAACTCTGGCATGTCTCCCAAATTATTTGTACTTCATAGCACGAGGTGCAATGTAAAATATACAGCAAGGGAAAAAGGGTTGCTTGAACTAAATGGATTTTCTTTCTTTTGCGTTCACATTATCTTGAATCGAATTTGGATGAAATGAGCTTAACACATTATCTTGGCCAACTCGACTAATTTAGAACGCCAATAAATTTTAGAGCATTAATATGTAGCAATATATTGACTTGACCATAATAATGATAAGAATGCGTGAAGTAAGTCATGATGTTAAATAAACATATAGTCCGACGATGGAGGGCCGGGGCGGCCCTTGCCTGGTACAAAGTCGAAATAAAAAGATAACCTATGTTGCGAGGAAAGCGACTGTTTTCCCATTGCGTAGGTTTGACTAGTTCCGTGTTGTTGTCTTCCAGCCATACATCCATGTCCATATATATATATATATTCCAATATAGGGCTTCAACTTTTGTACAGAATCAGACAGCTAGCTCAAGAACAATATTGATATATATATATTTGAAGGTAGCTCTCTCCTCCACAGTCCTATCCATCACACACACACAAAACAGAACCCATCTCTCTCTCTCTCTCTCTCTCTCTCTCTCTCTAGCTGTCATGGGTACTATCTCCAACCCAGCAACGAGCTATTCATTAATGGATACGTGGTTTGATTTGGACGAAGCACTGACGCTGCCTGAAGAACATATAGGAGGCGCCTGTGGCGGTGGAAATATAAATAGTAATGCAACGGGGACAGTTAACACTTTGGTAGCCAACATGCCAACGGTGGCTGCAGTTGAACTTAAAGCTGCAATTTGCTCAGTTTGTGCTCAAGGTTTTGATCATGATCAATGTTCAGACGATGATGAAGAAGAAGAAATAAAAATGAATGGTATTGCCATTGGTGTTGGTAAGCAAGTCCCTTGTGGGCATGTTTACCACGAAACATGCATAGCAAAGTGGATTTCCAATTCTAACTCTTGCCCTCTCTGCCGTTCCCCAATCCTCTCTAATTAAATTATTTCATCATTTCATCGTTCTCTACCATTTTTGCTTCTTGTAACAGTAATCTATATATTATATATTCAAGATTGCAGATGTTCTGTTCTTTATATCATTCCATTTTCTATATATCCAATCAGAAAGAACAAACCGCATAGGGTGAGGATCAAGATATAATTTGCAGACCTGATCAAATCAATTGAACTTGGCTATAATACAAGTGTGTTTGGGTTGGGAATTACTAGGTCAACTTTGTCTTTAAGCACACACAAATTTCTCACAGCATATTTATTTATCATTTTCTATTTTCTAGGGGCCATGCTGCATGTTCTATGCTATACATTTTGTCATGCTTTCTTTCTTTTTTTGGGCGGAAGAAGTGGGTCTCATCAAGGATGGCAATGGTCCGATTTGGGGCCAGGTATGGTAATACCATTCCGGTTTCAGCTTTTCATCTCCTATAAGTATTTTCGGAGAATCTCTGTCCCTATCCCCGTCAGGAGGCTTTCCCCCAAATCTCCGAATTTTTTTGCTTTAAAAAAAAATACTTATCCTACATTATAACACTAATTTCACCTTAAACTATCAAGCACATTTAATTAACCTATAAAATTCAATTAAACTACTCACAACCATCTCAATTAAATTTGACAAAACTAATTAAAAATTAAATTATATATTTATTGATTATAATACATAGTTATATTACATGTATATTACTTATAATCGGGCCGAATTCTCCATTTTTGGCCTGTATACAATCGGGAATTTTTAAGATTTGGGGATTCCCGTACTTGTCCCCAATTTTCTCCCAAAATCTCCTCTCGTTAGGACCGGGGACCCGATAGGTACTTTTGTCATCCCTCTATCATGCCCTTCATATTTTACAAATATTTCACCTCAATTTTAGGCTGTCTATATTTTGTGGTGTGTGTGTGGAAGAAGCAAGTCTCATGCCTTTCATATTTTTCATAGATATTTCACCTCCATTTTAGGCTGTCTCTGATGACCCTCTGCATTTAATATCACATAGACAAAAAACTATTGAAAGCCAAATTTGTTCAGGTCCCCAACATGCATTATTTTTAGTGAGATTGCCTGTGGCCCTGCCTCTCTCCCATCCAATATTAACAAATAATGTATACTTGCAAAATTATGGTGACAACAACAGCATAATAATAATAATAATATCACAAGTCAAATTGCATAGCTTATTGGCTAGTTGACCTAGTAGGATTTAGCAGCAAGCACCCTCAATTAATTTCTCTGTGCGCCATGCAATCAAGTATGTGTAGCAACTTGCACCCTTTAATTAATTTTGTGTAGCAACTTACACCCTTTAATTAATTTTATTCAGGTTTATTTGTCTTTCTATAAATATATAGCATCGTCTTGGTTGTTCTGTTCACCGGAGATATAGCTTGCTATAAACCCAAAGCCAACCTCTCTTCCTGCAATATATTTTCCATGGCCGCTGAACCTAAGACCGTATCATCAAATTATCCCATGAGCCTACAGTTTGACCTGGATGAAGCTTTAAGTTGGGAAGACAATTCCAATTCCACCCTCCTGAATAGTAATATCAGCATTAATATTGCAGCACCAAATCCAAACTCAAACTCGCTCATGATCCTAGAAAATATGCCAACTCCTCCTCCTGCTGCTGCTGCAGTTGATGATGTTTGTGCGGTTTGCATGGAAGGCTTGCAATCAGGTTCTGATGATCAGGAGGAGGATGATCAGAATCAGAATCAAAAGGGTAAACTAGTGCCATGTGGCCATGTATACCATGCCACGTGTCTTGCCTCCTGGCTCTTCGTCTGCAATTCTTGCCCTCTCTGCCGCTCCACCATCCACCTCAGATGATCAATTTTGCACTAGTTTCTTGTTAGTACGTAATTTCTAGGTCTGGCTTGTAATGTTGAAATGGAAAAGGCTTTTGGTTTAGTTTGTTAAGTCTAGAAAACTCTATAACTTTTATGTGTTTTTTTCTCCCATGATTTTAGAAACTTAGTTGAGTTTGTCAAGTGTTCTTAGTCTCTCTAGGAGCCGATTAGCTAACGGCTAATTTTTCATTGATGTCAATAGACTAGATTAGGGGAAATTATGGCAGTTGAAAGTGGTTATAAGAAAGTTATTTTTGAGAGTGATTTTATCCATATCATTTCAACTTTTCGACTAGCTCAGATCACTGGGAAGTTTTACCCATGTCTGTCATATTATTATTGGGTTTACACCCTTTACAGTCTATATCCTTTATACTCTTTATTCTTATTAATCTAATAAAATTCTATCGCAATTTAAAAAAAAAATTATAATGAACCATTTAATTGTACTTCCTAATCTTTACTTCATATTGATTGTATTAATATATAACCTTTAATATCCTTCCTTATATATATATATATATATATATATCTATCTTGTTCTTATTACAAATAACATTTGTTTATTTATTAGCAGAACATTGATAATTTCGGTAATCAAGTTATTCGCCCGAAATATGTGTTGATAGATCATACCACCATTGAAAGTCGAGCCTATTACAGACTGTCATGTGGTCATTTCCTTGATGGGTTACACATATACCGACCCGACCATGATGGTGTTGTTTATGACCAGGGGCACATTGATAACCTGCAGGCTTGATTGGACCCCTATCAGGTCAGTCACTCCACCCACCTGATGGGACAGCCTGGCGAAGGGAAGAGATCATTTAATACGCCTCTCATCCGAAGTCATCGCTTCACCACCTGACCCCTGTCGGATAGCATGGTGATCAAGACATGCCATTAAATGTGAATTCAACCCCACTAGTGGGAAGGGAAGTAAATATCTTCTTCCTCAAAGATATCCCGGTCTCCCCTTCTTCCCCTATAAATACCCCTCACCTATCTCTGGAGAAAGGTAATAAATACTTCAACCTAATAAACCCAACATCCATTTACTCCACCATCAAATAGCTTCTGACTCAACCATCGAAGGGGGCTCAATTGGGACCAAACCCAATTCGCTCCTATTCTGATACTGTTCCTAGTGTGCAGGTTTCTTCCAAAAAGCAACCCCTTTACAAGGCCAAGTACAAGCCTGAGCCTTTACCCGTACTCGAGTCACAATACATACGAAGTGGATACGTTGTTTACAATATGATTATCATATTCCCGTTGTACACATGATCATAAACGAAATTATTCATTTTCTACGTACATCACCAATTAAAGACCATCTCCAATTATTAATTTTTGGCAGAGATAATCTAAACATTATGATTTAGGAAATCAACGGTTATGGTTCCAATTGTAACATGTTTACATAATATAAACTCGCTAATCACAATTCGGATGAGCTAAGAAGGTCTACCTCAATGGAAACGGGCTTTGATTTGTATACCAGTGGTCTTAGGTTTGAATTCCTATGTCACTTTGGTAGTGTTTGTATGGAAACTCCCCTCCCTTTATAGTTTAAACCATCTCTTATATTAAAATAATAATAATCACAATTCGGATGGCACAAGAAGGAGCACCTAAATATTGTTCTCAAGTCTATTCCATTAAGTAATATACATATGCATGAACTGATCAGCAAGTCAGTAGTACTGTAGAATCAGGAGCTTGTTCAAGGTATAGATTATTATTATATACATATATAGAAAGGTACAGAAGGTCAACTTTAATAAATTAGTATTCCCACCACCATTATTATATAAATTGACGGATAAAATCAGAGGATTAGTTTTGTTTTTCTGGGTTTCGTAGATTTTATGATTATCTTTGTGGAAGATAATTCAAATCAAGCATCATGGTATTGATCATCTCTATTGTCTTTATGTCATTATGGAAAGTAAACTTGTTTGACATAGTTAAAAAGATAAAGACAAATATGATTTGATCTGAGCACCACCCATCACCATTATCACCATCGCCATCACCATCGTCATCCTTTAATCAATGTCGAAGAACATCATCTTATCAATAAACAAATTTAGCAAAGTTGGCTATAGCGTATTTGCTCTCCACTCTGCACCTAAGTTCGAATCCCTCTTTCCATAGTTTAAATTCGTTTAAAGTAGCTTATTACTTATATAAAAAATATATATTTAGAAATTAGAGGTGTGCACAATCCGATATCTTTAAAATAAAAAACCAAAGCGATGATAACAGATGGGGAGAAAGCCCAGGCCTCACATACCACTGGGTCAATACTGACTTACAAAAGGGAATTATGGGCCGCTGACCCAATGCTGCTACTGCTGAATCTGTTTTTTTTTTTTTTTTTTTTTTTTTTTTTTTTTGGGGTTGGGAAAATTGCAAATTGCTGCTGCTGATCATCATTGTGTGAAAACATAACAAAAATAGAATTTTTATTTTTTACTTTTATTTATTTATTGAGGATGATAATTTACCTAAAAATGAAGGTTTTGCAACCAGTCAAATAAGGAGGAGGATCATCACGCCACCGTGCCACGTACAAATTACTCCACTTTTTTTGGTAAAAAAATTACTCCACTTTTAGCTGCAGACAAAGCAACCGAATAGAAAATACGAGAAAACAGAGAGAGGAGAGTACAGTGCAGTCAAAGCCTCCATACTTGATTCTTGGCGGTTCAGTTTCTCCGAAAATGGAAAACCAAATCGCAAACGGTGCTGTTAAAGCTGTAAGAGCCTCCGCTCTCAATTGTATCGATCTCTCAAGCTCCGATATACACCAATCTGTCTCCTTACTGAAACAGGTTCGTTCCCCTTCAGCTTTCCGACTTTTCTATATTTTTTTCATTAAAAATATCTGGCAAGTGAAGAAAACTACTGATGACTTATATAAATGAATCAAATTCTGGGTTTAGGCCAGTTTGGATTGCGGTTTTTTCTACGTGGTAAATCATGGGGTAAGGGAGAAGTTCATGGACGAGGTGTTTGCACAGAGCAGGAGGCTTTTCAGCTTACCATTGAGTGAAAAAATGAAGCTTTTGAGGAACAAGAATTACAGGGGATATACCCCTTCTCTTGATGAGCATCTGGACCATGAAAACCAAGTACACGGTTTGTTTATATCACTCAGAAACGCACTTTCTGGTTGTTTTTGCTTCATTGGAATTCTAGGTCTTTGTTCTTGTTTTGTAAAGATTGGTTCTTGTTCATTGAGTAGGAGATTACAAGGAGGGGTATTATATAGGAGTTGAGCTGCCTGAAGATGACCCAGAACCGGAAAATAAGCCATTTTATGGGCCTAATGTTTGGCCTGCTCCAGGTAACCAACTACAACAAGTAGAATTGAATGGCGGATTTCTGGCACCACTTGGTTTTGTCACTCATATCAGTTTGCTGATTGACTTAATTTTGTGCTCTTTTTGTTGTCATGGGTCATTGAGGATGTACAAGTGGAATTGCGTTTCTGATCTTCTTATACTTTTTGTTGTCCTTGTAGATATGTTGCCGGGGTGGAGAGACTCCATGGAGGAATATCATAGACAATGCTTGTAAGTTGCACTCTTGTAATTGGCAACTACATACATATGTTTAATAAGATGAGAGTGCCCGTGCGTAGGTGTCCACAAGCATGTGATCAATGTTCCTCCCCATTAGACAATGCTTGTAAGGATATTCTCAGCAGAATTTCGTAGTGTCCAATTGCTATGAGAATATCCTTTATGTTAATGAGAAGGTTGTTTAGGACACTAAGGGCAGCCCAACTGCCATCTCAAGGCTTTTCAAAACTTTTTACGATCCTTTTCCATCTTTCCTTTAGATTAGTTCATTCTAGAATGAATGATTGACATACGCTGAATTGAATTGTTTTCATGTACGTCATTTCAGGGAGGTGGCTAAAGCAGTTGCTAGGCTTGTAGCCCTTGCTCTTGATCTAGACATCCATTTCTTTGATAAACCAGAAATGATTGGCGAGGCTATTGCAACATTGCGGTTACTACACTATGATGGTCAAATTTCAATCAAATTTTTTCAAACCTTAATACGAATCCCACAATTAGTTTAACTAATGATATGGTGTTCATTTTTTATATAGGTCAAATTTCCGATCCATCAAATGGAATTTTTGGAGCTGGTGCTCATTCTGACTTTGGTTTTATAACCCTTTTAGCAACAGATGATGTCGTAGGTCTCCAAGTAAGAAGGCTGCTGTGAATTTCAGCTATATTACCATTATTAAGAAGTCAAGTATAATTGTTGCATTACTAATTTGTTATTCCATCCATATTTCTTTGCAGATATGCAAGGATAAGGATGCTAAACCTCAAATATGGGAATATGTACCACCAATTAAAGGGTGAGACTTTCTACCCACTCATGGAGATTGATAGCATTTGAGTGGCTAAGTCTGGCTGAATCATATGTGATATAGTTATATCCTTGTTTGCAACATATATGGTCCGTTAAGTACTGTTTTAACACTTTGCATAATTTAGCTTCATTGCTGGTAACATGTTTTGAAGCTTTCACGATATAGAAGAGGAAAATAACATATGCCGCTGTATTAACAAATATAATGCAAAATCATCTTTTTAATTCATAGTAGTGACAATTTTTTAATTTTCTGTGTATTCTTTCAGAGCATTTATAGTGAATCTTGGCGACATGCTAGAACGCTGGAGCAATGGCATTTTCAAGTACTGCACATCTCTCTTAGTCGTAACCCTAGTCCAACCTCCAAACTACATATATGCTCATAGAAGATGAATGCTGGCAATTTCTGGAGCTGCACAATTCATTTTGCTCTTTAAGTATGTGCAATCTCCTTTTGGAATTTTTGTATTCAACTATTGTGTGACAGATGCTCCTGCTTTGGTTTTGTACTCAGGTCCACGCTGCATAGAGTTGTAGGGAATGGTCAAGACAGATACTCTGTATGACCCCTTCTCTTTTCCTTTTATGTTTCATGGTATACTAGGCGTTTTGATTATGCATAAGATTCTGTTTTGTCTCTCATCTGATTCAAATGGTATACTTTCGATTTCACTTATTATATATGTGCCTTACCTGTACATGGGCTCAAATCCTTTATTTTTTTGGGTGGGGGGGGGGGGGGGGGGTGTGGGGGGGAGGGATGGGTTTACATGGTATCCATTATGTTCACTTTCATATATAGCTCATTCTTTTATCTTACCAGTTACAGCGCATTCTTTTCTTTTTAATGGACTTCTCATTTTCTTCTTTTCTTGGGCAGATGGCATACTTTATAGAACCTAATCACGATTGTCTTGTTGAGTGCTTGCCTACCTGCAAATCCGAAAAAAACCCTCCCAAGTAAGTTCTGACCACAAATATTATGCTAGCACAATTATATAGTAATTTTAGCAACTGAAAATATTTAAAAATAAAACATGGCAATCTTTCATCTCTGTTTAAAAACGTTTGATAATTTTAAGATAATTGTTATATGGTAATCTCTGAATTATGTTGATCTATATTCGAAGCTCATTGGCCTTACGGAGTAGTAAGGGACCTCAGTTGAATGAATGAATACTGATGGGTTCATTACATCATCTGACTTTATAGGAAATGCATCACCTTTAAAGCATGTGGCCAGTAGAGTAGATAAGCATTTGAAATGATGTTCTTTCGGTTCATGTTTTTCTGCATTTGCCTACTATGCCAGGTTTCCTCCAATCTTGTGTCGGACTTACCTGAGCCAGCGATATTACGATACTCACGCTGATTTGAATGTCTATGATGAACATACAAAATAAGTTTGCCACCGCTCCTGCAATTGAAGATGAATCCCCTTCTAAGATAGCATAAGATTCATATGGTTTTACCATTGTTGTATTTGATATTGTGTTCCATCAGTGCTCAAGTTGTATTCTCATGTAAATCCATAGAATGTGTCCAATGAAAAACATATCCCTGCCTCTAAATTAATGTACTGCATCTGCATAGTTGACTTCTTGGACAAAGAAAAGGCTGTAGGAAGTCAATCAAGGATCAATAAATTTTATTTATTTATTTATATAAGCCACATTTACCATAACAATAATTGAACAAATCCACTCCCTGAAAGGATTACTTGGCTTTTAGCCATGTTAGTGGCATAACAATGGTGGGGGAGGAGTGTGCTTTCTTTTTCCCTCTCCATTTCAATAATTGTCGAAAAAGATGACAAAAGTTAGCAAAACGACCCATCCGTCGCATTTTCTTTTTATGTTTGTAGGCCTGGGGTAAGATCCAACGGTCAAAATCAATTCATCAAAAGAATGGTGGCTGGCTACCATCGTCATGCATTTGAGACACGACTGTAGACTAAATGACGACTTTCAAACGCATGAACAAGATCACCAAATGCGAGGAGTGGGGCGTAGGAGCTGTTCTCCAATCCAATAAGTGAAATCCCTTCCCAATAACAGGTTACGCATTACATGATACATCTCTCACAATAACAAGTCACGTGATACGTAGCTGTGAAAGAGACACCGTATAGTATCATGTTCAAATTTTTTTTGAGGAATCTAAGCATTTGACCAATGGAAGCAATAAAATTGCAAGAAACAATATAAGCTGTAAATGGATTTCAATTACATGAACTGATCACATGGTGGGAGGTGGAGCTGGGGATAATACAATTAGCATATTTATTTGAATTTAGAAACAGAGGGCTTACAAGCATCTCCTTAACTCATTTTAAGCACCATCGTCACCAAGTGACATAACACAACAGTAATAAAAACACCATGCATCTTCAGAAAACACCCATTTAAAAAGAAGTTTGATATTAAACTTCTAAAATGTGGAGCAACACACTGTTCAACGGTAGTTTCGATACACAGGGCTGTACATGCAACTCTCAGCATACTTCACAAGATTCTCAGGACGGGGGAGACGTGTAGCCAGGCCTACAAAGCATACGATGAAAACGAATTACAAATGGATGGAAGAAGTGGACATTGTTTTTGGGTCAGAACTCAGAATATACCAAAGAAAAGAAATATATAAAAAAGGCTCACCAAGTTCATATGCCTTAGCAGCTACGTTAGCAGCTATATGGGCAGAAATCTTTCTGATGTTGGAAAATGGTGGATAAATCAGCCCTTTCTCAAAATACTCCTCTGAAACTTCCCCCGCCAACGATTCCGCTGTTTTTAGGAGATGAACCAAAAAGTTGAAGAAAGAGTAAATGCAAAAGTCAATGTCTTGCCAACTAAACCTCCTATATTACAGTTGATAGATTTGTGTTTGGCCTGTTTTGACAACATAATGCCATTCAAGTTCTAAATTCTATGTTTTTTCAAAATCAAACCATTCTGAATGTGAAGTCTACTTACAGGCTGCCAGAAGCATATCATTGTGCACACGGATTGCGCCAGAGATAACCAAACCGAGACCAAATCCAGGGAAAATGTAAGCATTGTTGGACTGCATTGAAAAGGAAAGCAAAAAATCTCAGTCATTGATACTAAACTCATGGTTTTAAACTTGGTCTTAATACTGTGAGATTATATTTGTATAACCTGGCCAGGAACATAAACTTTGCCATTGTATTCAACAGGATCAAATGGACTTCCGCTGGCAAAAATTGCGCGTCCCTAGCAAATGAAAGCAGGACAAGAAACATGGAAGAAAAGTTAGCTTCACTGCATAAATGGAGTACTCAAACATTCTATTTATTGTATCACCTTGTGCTATAAATCTCCAAGCAAGTAATGACAGAGTAGATGTAAAAATAAATGTTATACCTTACTCCAAGTATAAGCTTCTTCAGCAGTACATTCAGACTGAGACGTCGGGTTGGAAAGAGCCAAAATGAGAGGTTTCTGCATCATTCATTTCTCAATGTCAATAAAACAGATGCTCAAAATGTTATCCAACATGAACAAGACGATAGGCAGGGGATGGATGTAAGAGAAAGTGAGGAGTACCTCATTGAAGGAGGATACTGCCTCAATCACTTCCTTTGTAAACGTTCTTCCAACACCGGATGATCCAATAAGAACTGTTGGTTTAATTGCCTGATCAAGTATGAAGGGAGAATAAAAAACAAGTATAACCAAATAATTATGCATCAAAATTCAAAAAATAAACTTGAATTGTTTGGTTCATACCTTGACAGCATCAAGGAGATTATCAATGGGTTCATGTTCGTGAGCCCAAGGCTTCTTAAACTGTTGAAGAGAATCTTTGCGAGAGCTAACAATTAATCCCTGCAAAAATGATTCATGTGCTTAATGAAGTTTGAGAGAAAGTAAGAAAACTTAAAAATGAAAGTCAGAATCTTTATCGAGCATGCTACCCCACCTTTGAATCAACAAGCCAGATCTTCTTACGGGTCTCTTCCACAGGAGTTTTTGTCTACAAGAGACAAAACAAAATAAACGAAGGAAGATCATTGATAAATCATGACCAGAAGTCCTTAACATCTCAGTTTGACAATTACATTAACCAGAGATAGCGTGCATCTGATTGTAAAAAGTTAATACCTTTTGTGAGATCTCAAGAGCTATTAGCTCTGCAATACCCGTCCCAGCCTACAATCATGAGCAACAGCAGGATGAGAATTATATATTAGAGTTAGATTATTCTTAGTTCTCCTTAGTTAAGGACATGATAAGCCAGCAATATGTAGTGAAGACAGAAATCCATGAAAAATTCCTTACTTCCCCAGCACCAAGGAACAAAAAACTTGTGCTCGGACAGGCTACCACCAACCAACCTCAGTGCTGCCACAACTCCTGCAAGAACTACAGCAGCTGTTCCCTGAAACAAGGAAACAATAGGTCAGGGGGAAACTAAACAAAGTGTACAAGCCGTAAAGGCTAAAGGGCAAGCTCAAAAGTGATCTACTGTGTACTTGTATGTCATCATTGAAGACAAGATGAGTCCTCCTATATTTTTCAAGCAGCTGGAAAGCATTGTGGTTTGCAAAATCTTCAAACTGCACATTTCAATTCAAAGGGACAAGACAATCTCAGAACTACATGAAAATTTTATACTCTGGAAATCCTACGAATATATTTTATACTCTGGAAATCCTACGAATATATAGGATGTTATTTAAGAAGCAACCTGAATGACAACTTTTTCCCCATAATTCTGCTTGACAGCACTCATGAACTCATCTAAAAGATCAGCATACTCCTGCAGGTAGTGTCAAAAATCTCTCATCATTAAATTAAAATTTATAGTTCTTAATTACATAACTAAACTAAACTAAACTAGAGACAAACTAGGGTACGGTAGAAGCTACAAACCTTCCCAGTTGTCCTCTTTTGTCGAAGTCCAATATAGAACTCATCCTCCAGCAACTGCTTATTATTTGTCCCAACATCAATGGTTATAGGCAAACACTGCAGAAGAAAGTCCAAAGAATTCTTAATTAAATGAAATTTACATGCTGTGATATCAAACAAGAATTTAAATTTCAATCCTTCCTTAATTTCCAATGCAACACCTTGATATTAAAATTTACAAATAAAGGTAAACCTCATGGTTTTGAAGAAAGTTAGCAATGATTAGTAACAAGTAAATAGGAAAATCCTTACCGCTGAGGGACGAACTCCTCCAAGCGCTGTGTACAGAGCCAACTTCCCTACCGGAATTCCCATCCCCTGAAACATGTCCAACAATGCCATGTGAGGGCAAGTTACTTAACCACTTGAGGGTTATTTTACTTTTACCAAAAGATACTCATAATTTAAAGAAAGTGATTCAAACTTGTTACCTGACAACCTAGGTCGCCAAGTCCCAAAATACGCTCACCATCAGTCACAACAATAACTTGAACAGTCCTTTCAGGCCAGTTCTTCAATACCTCAAGAACTTTGCCCCTGTAAAAGTTGAAGGATTTGTCATGTCATCAGAACTTTATGTTGAGAAAACCGAAAAATCACGGTGTAAAGAAATAGTCATACTTCTCTTTCAGGCTTATGTAAAGACCCTGAGGGCGCCTGAAGATGCTTCCGAATTTCTGGCAAGCCTCACCAACAGTTGGAGTGTAGACAATTGGGAGCAATTCCTCCACATTATCAATGAGAAGTTTGTAGAACAGCCTCTCATTCCTCTCCTGTTAACCAAAGGAAACTGAATGATTCTCTCTACATCCTTGTTCCAAAGACAAGCAACTCCGCAAAATAGTAAGACAAGTCCCCATTGTCATTTAACACATTGCAGGGATAAATAACACACTTGAAATAGTGTCCATGAATCTTTATGCTAAACCGATACAGGTAAACAGAAAAAAACTACCTGGAGCTCTGTCAGAGCCATATATTTCTGCAGTGGGACTTGATATTGTCGGATAGTGTTCATCAACTTCTTCTCCTGGTTAACAAATTTTGGGGGAAAAACATAAAAAATAAACAAGAAGTCAACATTTACCCCAAAAAGTCAACGACTGATGTTCTTGATGAATGAAACAACTGAGCTATGCCATTTTAGACTATCACCACAACACCCTAAAAGCTTAAATTAACCATGCCATGAATACTAAGCAAAGCAGAAGGACTAAATTAAATTAATGGAAACCTGAAGTTGTTGAGAGCAAGTTGCTGGAGGCAGAAGACCACGCAAGTAATGGGCGTCCCTCTCTTTCTCCGTAAATGCAAGCCCTTTATTGTACTGGGGATCTCTCAGCAAAGAATATCCACTGCATCAAGAGATTCAAATTCCACCAAAAAAATTTGTAATTTAACTTAAAAAAAATTAGAAGTATCAAAGTTTTTACAGGTTTAAGTAAAGCATCCAAAAAGTAGAACAGAGATTTTGTTTGGTGAAAAAAGAGAAAAAATTACAACTTGGGTTGCAAGCTAGAATTATAAAACAATCAGGTGAAAAGTAGTGACCTGGCGACGGAGTAAGTCCAAGGGGTGACAAGCTGGTCCTCGGTGGCAGTGTCCTCACCGTAGATGTCCTCAACGCCGCCACCAACAACGGCGGATTTGGGGTCAAAGTCAAGCACAGAAGCCTTTTCCCCCAACTCCTTGAAGGCGCTCTCCATTCTTCTAAGTGACCCAATTAACAGCTGAGGATCAGCAACACTCTTTCTCTTACAATTACAACACAGAAAACAGAGTGATCGCTGGAGCTCAAAGCCAGTAGTGAGAGAAGAAGCAGAAGATGCAGTGATCTGTTTTTGAGCTGCAACTCTGTTTTAATAACAAAGCAAACAAACAAGAACCCATGTTACATGTACACCAAAGGCAAGACAAGACTTATGGCTTTTTTCACATTAAAAAGTCTAAAAGGAAATGGAAATTAAAGGTAGGGTCATTTTCAATTTAACTAATCATCTTTTTCTCTTTGTTTAATTATTTAGAGAGAGAAAGAGAGAAAAGAAAAAACGTATAGACGGAGGAGAAGTGTGAAACTTTCTTGTTCAATATGCATGTGGAGGTGGTGGAGATGAATGATACGATTGATTTGGGTGAGTGGGTTCTTTTGAAGGAGATCATTACGCAAAATATCGAGATTAGTGGTTGGTAGGGAAATGGATACGAATAGGATGGAAGAGAGAGATAGAGACATGGTTTTTTGTCTATGTTCGGCGGTGGAGTTGGTGGAAGAGAGAAGATAGAAGGAGACAATAGTTGCAGACAGTGAGAGATTGGGCTGTTGATTTGGATAATGAAGATTATTGAACAGACGTGTCCAATGGTGGGGCCCTCACATGCACACCTGCCTCTCAATGCCAGTGCTGTATGTAGTATATGCCTTGATTCTAAAATAAATATTTGTAACGGACAAAGTTTTGTTTATATTTCTATTTGGCATGTTATGCCGGTACTTCTTTTTTTTTAATACGAGTGATAGTTTAAATTATAAAATGAGGGATTTTTCTCATACACTACACTATCAAAGTGCTATAAATGATCAGACCCAAAAAAGAAAAAAAAAGTGCTATAAATGATAATGTATAAAGATTGAAACTTGACATCACAAATCTGCAAATCCAAAGACTTCATAATTCTTCTTCCCTTGTGAGCGTTTGACCAGCTTTTTCCTGGTGCTCACTGAAATCAGATGAGGCTGAGGTTTGTGCAGGTTAAGACACGTATGGATTGAAGCATTGACATGTGGTGAATGGTCGTGATTGTTGTGCCTACACGTCCTGTGAACAAACACATCCCAAGGTCCCTATACACGTGAAGATTGAGAGCTCAGACGGCTCTGTGTCTAGTATTTATTTAGTATTTGGATTTTTATTAATAATATTGGCTCCGTTTAGAGCACGGGAAGGTCTGTTTGTCTTATTAATATTATTCCAAGGTATTGAAAAATTACCAATTGGTCCTTTTACAGAGTAATGCAATTAAAAATGTGACACTTATGTATATTTCTCCCAAGGAGAGAAACATTATTACCGTGTGAATGTCATTATTTTCTAAAACCCGCCCATACTTTCCTTTCTGTTTATAATGGTACGTGTGGACATCCGGATGAGAAAATAACTATATATATATATACATATATATATATATGCAAACACGCGTTAATGTTACAATATAATACATACAACATTTCTTGACAATAATTACGGATATTATGGTACACCTAAAATTTAATTTACACTAAGTCCTTCAAAACAGAGAATGAGACTTCAATAGTTCGGGCCCCTTGTTTATTCCTATAATACTTGCAGAGGGCTGAACCTGCAACTTTCCATGCAAAGCAGCATTTACTAACAGCTCCTTGACTTATAGCATGGTCATAAGTCACCCGATATATTGCAAGCGCCTCATTGAATATTTCATGCAACGGCCTTGTACTATTCTCAAGGTCCTCAGCACCACCATACAGAATCTACAAATGGGGAAAAGCAGTGAGCAGAACAGGCTCTGGTAAAATGTTTTGTTCATAATCCGGACACTTAAGTCTGAAGTCTCACCTCTTTATACTTTCTGAAGACCTTATCAGCAGCATTATTCTTGCTGTCTCGATCATTGTCCTGCATGGCAGAGCTCATTTCACTCCTGTAATGCTGGTGGTGTTCCCTCCATTTCCTCAAGCACTCCTCAGGGACTTCGACATCGAACATGGGAAGTTTCTTGACTTCTGAAGAGAGGTACAGAGGAAAAATAGCAAGTCAAAAACTTATGGACAGGAGCTTTAATAACCAGCTAATATTAAAAATACTTTTATCACACCTTTGATAGAAGCATCTTCTAATTGATAGGCGTTCACTGTGTCATAAATTAATCCCAAAATGGACGTTGATTTGTACGAGTTTACCCTTTCCATGTAATGAGGGAACTGATTCGACTTCAATTCTCCAGGAATTACCACCTGTTACTCAGAAGTTAAATCAAAGTTTCAAGGCACAGCCAAATCACTTGAAAGGAAGATGTACTTCAAAGATTAAGGATCATGCAAACTGTAAATAACTAGCTACTGATTTCCTATATCGTAAAACAGGAGGAGGATGTGAATGTTCTTCACTCCATGGAAACTAAACAAAGGGTGAACTGAAGACAGACAACGAGTTCCAAACAAATGTAGCAGAACAAATCAAAAGAAACGAAGAGTACCCTTTTCCTAAACCAAACACCATATGTTTAATTGCATACAATAGGTACACCCACTTATAATAACGACATACTGGAAGAAAGTAAAAATTAACACCAAATCCCTATTGATACATCCTATTACAAAGCTGAAGCAAAAAAAACCAGAACTAACCTTTCCACCTTTTTTTGGTGCATCTAGAGCTTCGTAGTATAAATCAACCAACCGCAGCATGTTTGCCTTCACACGGGCTTTCTCACTATTACTACTATCTCCTAGAATTAACAACCGATCCATCTTAGCCAGCCAGCTATCAGATGCCTCACTCATTGCAAAGCTGCAACAGATGAAATTGTTTGTGCACCAGAAACATAAGATTCACACAGTGGATGAAGTGCTAAATCTGTAGAACAAATGTAATACAAATAATAACACAAGAATAAACAGTACTGTTAAGTGTGAATCATAGCCAGAGAATGCTGTCTCAGTTTCAACAACAAACAGAGATATCCATCATCCAATACCATATCAAGAAGAATGGAAACCATTCAACTTGATTTATAAAAGTGGGAAGTTAATATTTTAATTTGGGCCCGATAAATAAGCATAGCAATAATTACATACACCAGAAAACAAATTACATTAAGGTTCAAGAATTACCTGATACTTTGTAACAGTCAACAACTTACTAAATTTTAAAACGAAAAATTCTAATTCAAAGTTCAATTTTGCCAATATATTTAATGAACTATGCTTTCGTTACATGCATTTTAGACAATATCAAAAGGTACTACTTAGGCTAAAAGCATTACAAGATTGAGCAAATAGTAACTACAACGCATCAGGAACCTAATTAAAGCCAGAATTTTAATGCAATACAACGCAAATGATTATAAATAGAATCAAATGCATACCTGGGTTCAAACCTAGTTTTCAAGAATAGTTTAATGAGCGCATCCTCTATATCATTAGGCAAAAGCTCACTGGGTCTAGGACTCGCAACTTTTGGAGTTGATGATGAAGCTTCGATCCAAGGTTCACTCGGTTTAAAACATTCCAAAAGCTGAAATAATTCCAATAATAAGTGCTAAATACAAAAGGGAAACTAGATAACACCAATTAATTATGAAATACAATCACATAAGAACTTTGGCATATTTGGTATTCTAACACCTCATGTGCTGAAGTATTAGGAGTCAAAGTTTTTCTTCTCGAACCAGTTCAATAGGTAAAGAGACTACAAAACAGGAGCTCAGCTTTTGGAAAGACCCAAGTGACAAATTATTTCATTGACATCTTTCCAACATGATCTCACATCAGTATGGAAACAATTTAAGTGCAATCAAGCCACTTCAATCAATGTCATGCCCGAATCTTTTCAAATCCCTTTTTTTTATCATGAAAAGGTATAATAAACCTTAATAAAATGGATATCTATTAAGGACAAAATAGAAAAACTGATAGTTAAGAGGTGTGATAAACAAAAAAATTTCCAATTCCATGCATAAATTGGTTAAGCATTTCTAGAGGGGATGTGCACGTCAAATTTTCAAAATAATGATAGAGTAACCCCGATTAAGGTAAATGCCAACCTGAGGGTTTCTTGAGACCCAATAGAGATCACCGTCAAAATCTCCACCACCCATTTCATCAGCCACAGAACGTGGACCTTTGCAAGAGAAGAATATAGCATATTTGGCATTTCCGACAACATATTCTAACTCCTTCACGTACCTGGCCTTTAAAACATGGATATCACCAAAGTGCAAACCTGGATGCCGGTACACTAGTACCTCTCCTGACATTTGTCCGCTGTCACTGCACACATCATTGGGCCGAAAAGAGGCCTCAAGCTATAAGTAAACTATATTTATTGACACTGAACTACACATAGATGAAGAACTAACATAAGATAATAAAGAAAGAAAATATGTATAGTAACACCTTCAGTAAAGAGATACAATTAAGCAAATACAAATCATACAATACCATATTATACCATATACTAGAAACAGTTCTACATGGAACTATTAGTTCATATATAATTTTTTTTTTTTGGGGTAAATAGTTCATAATTCATTAGAACATAATATACATTAGTACCACTATAATTTTCAAAGCAAGAAAATAACAAAATTTGTACAGCATAACCATATAATACGATCTTATGGTTATGGCATAGATCAAAGAATTTCTGTGTTAGTTGTAGGTTGGATAAATTTTTTAACTAAACTACAAATATTGCGATTACAGATTGCTTCCAATACAAGTTATAACTTTACACCTTTAATCTAAGTACCATGTCTCACATAGAGATAACCACGCAAATGCATTCCTTCTATTACACAAGTTTTAATTCAAGCAACTGTATTTTATAGCTAATGGGGCATGGACCAAAGAAATGAGGAAATTATTGTGCTATGCAATAAAAAGACATATAATTAATCTAGCTACAGGATAACAGATGGTAAACATATCATCAAATTCTTGAATGGATTTTTAACAGGAGAGAAAAAAATGCCAGAAATCATACATACAGGATAACGCAAACTTCATCTCTTTCCAGAATCCCTGTTGGATCAGTTGTCCCCATCAACATATAACTCTGAGGACTACAAATTTTGCCTTTTCTAAGACTCTTATTTTCCTCTTTCTTTAGAATTGACAGACGATATTGCAAATATGATTCTTCAAGAGGAATACCAGAAAGGATCATTTTTACCGAACTGTAATCATCATCCATCTCACCATGGTTATAGGCAACTGAAAATACAGAAAATGATGGAAGGAAACCCATCAATAAATTCGAAATAGTGAAAGAGAAATAAGTGGAACATAAATGAAATAGGAAATGGCTAGAATGTTATTTAACCCATGGACAGATACCAAAGCAAGAAATTGGCTGCCAATTTGACCCCAAATGATTCAAAAGGAAAGAAAAAGTTACGATGAGTTCTAAGCACTATCAGCTTCACACCTTTGAATGCTGCACGCATACTGCAGAAAACACCATGAGTATCTTCCAGATCTTTCATAAGTAACCCCATAAAGTACTCTTTCGGCACCCCTCCATGACATAGAAGTGCAATTAAATGCCTCGAAAAATATGTATTCCTATGTGATTTGCTGGAAGATGAAAACTTTTAAGTTAAAAATTACACCTTCAACAGTAAAATAATATAAACAGCCCAGCACCTGGCACTGGCCCTGTACTTGAAATTCTCAATTAATTTATGCTAAAATGTAATATCGTGTCCTTTTCTTTTATCATTTTTTCAATGTTAACCTTGAGAAAAGGTATCTAGTGATATGCTAATAAATGCAAATAAGTAATAACCAAGTTGACGCAGGACAACTGATTCTGAATCAACTGCAGGGGGTAAAAGCAATACAAATTACGCAAAGATAAGTTCTAAATAATGGATATACCTTACTTTGACTATTTCCAACGAATTCACTGTTTGATCATCTGAAATCGTTGGATCTCTCTCAACTTTAACCATTGATGGTCGAATCTGGATTGTTTTCGGTGGCAGCTACAATGTTTGACACTTACAATATTAGAAAATAAGAAAATGAAGAAAATACTATTAGTCAGAACTATTCCTTAAGTTTTTCATTACTATCAAGCATGAACCTGTTATTAGGGTTGTATTATCTCAGTTCCATTCAGTAATGATGAGGGCATTGTACAAGAGAATGACAGAAACCATACCGTTTTATTGATCAGAAAGGTTCCCTTCACAGCACGGCCTTTGTAAAAAAGTCGGAACTGCAAGAGCAAAGGCTACAGGAGAGAAGAGACAGAAGGAAAACAAAAGCAAAGGGAAATCAGTTGCAAGCAAGATAAGCCATGCACAGAGAAGAGTAGAAGACATTAGCATTTTGGATTAGGAAATGGAGAAATTAAGAAAACATGGAGTTGTGAGCCAAAAATTCAGAGAGACTCGACCCTTGACACAGAGGGAAGGAGAAAGAAAATATAGTCAGTTCCTAGGAAAAAACATAGAGAAATTACAATTGCAGAAGGCAGAGAGTCACACAGGCAGAGCAAGACTCTTGCGCATTATGCATACCAAGTTTTTGGCTGCGTAACAGACTAATTTATACAAGCTGTTATACATATGTAAGTTTTAGCTGCATTTTTGCTAGATTATTATTCATATCCAGTAACTTGATACTACATTTTTATGCAAACATGTATTTCAAAATCTCTATTGTCAAATGCAAATGACGTTGAGGATAAATCAACTATGAGGTTAGTTAATATTTATTATTGCCATGCTTTAACCTTAATTTTAAATTACCTAAAACATAGAATCACAAACCTCAATGTACTCCTTACTGATATAGTCTCCTTTGAGTAAATCCTTCGGACAGAGTAAAGCCAAATCCTCAGATATGAATCCAGTTCCATCTGTATGTATAAGAGGCTTTCCATCTCTATAGATACGATTACCAGATTCATCCTGTAGTTTACACACACAAAAAAAAGAAGAAAAGAATAGACTGCATTTTTAAACGGAAAAAATGAAACAAAGAAAAGGACATATAAGTACAAATAGGAAATGCAACATCCATTAAAAAGATTCAGGATCATACAAGACAATACTCATCATCAATGTCCTCAACCTTTACAAGTGACCAATCTACTACTAAGCTCTCTGTCTTTGACAAAATGAGTGAAAACCTGAATTCCCAAGAAAGATGGTACTTTAGAATCTTTATGGAAAATTACTTCTATACAGCATTAGAAAAGAAATTTTTGAGTAAAAAATAATTACATACCTAGCCATGTAGTTTGACACACTAGACACAGTATGTGCATGCATAAAAATGCATCTTGTTTCGTGAATTTTTCTGTTAGAGAACTTATAATCTCCACTCCTGTCAATTGCGGCATTAGAGCCCACACGAATAAAGTAACACTTCACAGGTGATGAAGTTGGGTTTTTCTTCTTTTCTTGATTGCCACCATCTTTGAACACTGATTCAAAACCATGTCAATGATCAATTCAGCTAGAGTGCTCAACAACTCAATAAAAAGAACAGAACATGTTCATGTATCCAAATACAGGTTAAAACTTCACCTGGGAGAACGGTTTAAATAACATTAAATCAGTTTCTGAATATCGAATCCCAAGTCTAAACCATGTGGTAATTCTAAATCCTATTTCTAGCATGTGAAGCTGACCAAAAAAAAAAATCATATTAACTATCCAGCTTTAAGAATGCCAGAGCATTTAAGAGCAAGTGAGCCTCAGAAGACATTTTTCTAATACCATCAGTGACGGAGTATAAAGAAATGTATCTGCATATGTGTTGATGCACAGAAGAAAAATGAAGTGAAAAAGACCCTCAAACACCTTAGCCTTGTTCCGGTTGTTCGGATGGTTTTGAAACCGTACATATATGCATGCATGTCTCCCTGTGTGACCATTGTAACACGGAAAAGATAACCTACAATGATTTAACAAATTGTTCTTTTTTCACTCAAGCATGCATTGTATGAATATTCTATTTCATAGGAGGTAATTATACTTATGAGCCAATCAAGACAGGTAGAAGAGAGAAACAAAGCCAAAAGTGGTTAGTGAAGTAAAACATTTTTAAAATTGGACATTCAAAATTCACCATATTAAGGCATGAAAGACATACCAAAGAACCGATATCGATGCAAACCTACAAGAATCCCTTCTCTTGCGACCTTGCTATAGTTGGCATAATTATGTTCTTTAATGGCAGTTGGAACTTTCTCAGTCACCACATCGGAAAATTTCACCATTAAAACATTGTCATCTCCCAAAACTTTCTGCAGGAGAGTTCTTTTTGTGTTGTTTAGACAGGGTCCCTGAAGGAAATAACAATTTATCACTTACACAACATCTGCAAAATGACCGGTCAACACTGGCAACAGAAACATTATGATATTACCAAAAGACCAGTGGAAATTGCTTGTATTTATAGTATACATATTAGGTTCCGCATGTTGCTGAGCTGTAAAATTCAAACAAGCAATAAAAGAAAAAATCCATTTTCCAGAAAGGAACTGCAGACAGCTGATTACAATTTGCCGGTGAGGGTTTGCCACTACAACACATGTTTTGCAAAAATGAATTGCTATCAATTGGCACTCATGAAATCAAATCTTAAAGGTACAAAGTTTCTAAATACTTTTTAATGGGGTAAGATTCAAACGTGAAACCTCCCACAAGACCTAATCAGAAGATCTGATTCCTTCCGTGGACCCACAGGTATGACTGATAAGGCAATATCAGGTTTTACTGATACTGTGATACCTAATTTCATGATTGCATGTTAAACTCTGATTACCTACACTACAGATTCTGTCAGTAAATTAACTATTTCTCCTTGTGAGCAGGCAATTATGCATAGGCTAGCACATGATTGTGTGTGATTACACGTATACTGGGGGGTAGATGTGCAAACCTTGAATTTGTAGCTCCCATCCACAGAGACTTCACAATGATAGACGTATGTTTTTCCAGAATCCCAATCAAAAGTCTGCAGCACATCGCCAACATGAAAGGGTCATTGAGCACATGTAGTAATGGATACGAGGTTGGATAATGCCAGTAATAAAGACACCATCAATGAGTTTTTTTTTTATAGGTTTTTTTTATAATAATTATAATTAAAAAAAGGTAAGCTATCAGTGTTGGGGTAGATTTACCCTTCCTTGAAATCTCAAGACCTTCCAAACTGTGTAACAAGTTAATAATTAATTTTGGGACCTTTAAGTTAACCACGTGAAGTCTAGTACTACTTAACAAAACTTAAAAATAAAAATAAAAACGAGCAAAATGGTTTTTAACAGAATAGTTGGAAAATTATTAAATTTCTTCTCAGTAAGAATGGAATTTTAGATGAAGATAACTGGCTATGCAAACTCATTCCTACTCTCTAATCTGACAGGAAATGGCATCATTACTAGATACTAATTTACTTATTCATCCATTTATGTGTACTTGAAGGGGATTGCCATGATTAATTCAAGCAGGGTTGCTAAGCTCCAATGATCAGAGTGTAAAGATATTCTGTAGCAAACTACCCAAATATTTTGAAATTCTTGAATTGTTAGTCTTAGCGAACATGGATACAATTCCAATTTTCTTTCCAGGAACTAAAAACAAGTAGAGCAGGACAAGAGTCAAAACCAATTAGCAAAGATTATGGTAATCCACTAATTTATAGATAAACAAGAATTGAGAATGATCATCACCGGGTGTCGGTCTTTCGTGCTGATACAGTTCCGACCCAAAGCTTCCCAAACTCTCGTCTCAAACAGTTGCATCGGCAAATCTTTCCAGCTCCTAATAGTCTCCGGCTCTAGAACTTTTTTTAACTTATTTCTGAAAAAAATAAATAAATAAATAGACATCCAAAAGCAGGTAAACGAACAATGTAATCTAAGAGGAAATGCAGAAGTAGAACCAAATAAGCCACAGAAGGAGAGAGGAAAGCAAAAAAGGAACAAACTTTCTCATACCCTCCAGCGTAATTCAATATTAGGAATTGTCTCCTGAACTCAAGTTCGCCCAGAGCTTCTAATTGTGCCTGCCCATTGTCTCTACTGAGGAATTAGTGGAAGTCTCACCTGTACCAACACACACTAGATAGTTAATCACAACGAATGAAAAGCATTCCATTGAAAAAAAAAAAGGAAGAAAAAAAACAGGAGTAATAGTTGAAGGAGGAGCAGATGAGGGCCTTGATACGGATAAACACGGAGAACTTTTGAAGGTGAGGCAGAGGAATAGGAATAAGGTGGCCTCAACCCTCCATGGTCTCCAGGTTGCTCTGTAAACTTCCATTCTTACTGAGAAGAAATTTAATTTCAAGGATATTTAGAACTAGATAGATATCAGCATGACTTCCTATACCCACTTATCTTTCGGGAGTATATTTATGCACTTGCTCATGATCGTGGTTTTGTTGAAAAATCTAAAACTGAAAAGAAATTTTATAATTTTTATGAAAATTGAATAATAGTGTAAACTAAATAAAATTATGATTTAAAGGCATCCATTAAACACCAAGATATGTAAAGGATTAGTAAAGCTTGTTTGATATTCAACTTTAATTCAACTTTTTAAACTCAAAAACATAATTTGAATTTAAAACAAAGAAAACCTGCTTAGTATATTTATTTTTAAAAACTCAAACTCAAGAGCAACTAAAAACCATCCCAATTATTAAAATAAAAAAATATCTGTTTTTTTTTTTTTTTTTTTTTTTTTTAAGTTGTATACCAAACAAGTTTTTGAATTTTAAAAATATATTTAATAAGTTTTTAAAAAAAATCAAAGTTTGAATAGGATACCAGACGCCCCTAATAATTTGACCATGAAAATGAAAACAGGAGGCGTAATGAGAGAATCAGATTTTCTTACTGAGATTAATCAAAATGAAAACAGAAAAGCCCATGAACATGAAATAAAGTGAAGTAAAAAAATCTGACCTTTATGAACCGGAGGCGTAATGGGAGAAGCAGACAATTGGGTTTGTAGAAGAGAAGCAGGGTCGGACTTTGAAGGAGAGGGAGAAGGAGAGGCACAATGATATTGTGGTTTCTCACGGATCATCCAAGTGATTAAGCCACCGAGGGTTTTGATAGTTCTCCATTCGGCGATTTCACGGAGGAGTTGGAGGGCCTTCTCCTCGCTCAGAAAACTCAGCCTCAGTCTGACGTTTTGGTCTGGCTGGGGTTGCTTTCTGTCGTTACAAATTTGGTTAAGCAAATCCTCCACCGACGGAGGCAGAGCAATGTGCGGTTGCTGTTGTGGTTGTGGCTGTAGACAAACGTTGGCCATGACCGTCTGGGGGGGCTCGATCGTGCTGCTGTGAAAGCAGTTGATAGATGAAGATAAATGATTGGCGGCATCCTCCATCTGTGGGTGACTGCGTTTCACGTTCAAATTGCTGTGATGATGCATTTTTTTACACTACCATGAGCCAGCCCACAATCATAAACTTTCGACTAAATGGCTTTTTTTGTTTTTTTTTTGGGTCTGAAAACTTTCTACTAAATGGTAAGTCTCAAGTTTCAAGCTTCTATAAACCAAATACCAAAAAGTTTCAAGCTTTTATGGGGATATACGAGATTTTCCCTGACAGAAGGTTCCTACTTCGGACCAGATTTTTGATGGAGCTACTTACACTATTTGCTGTGCTTGGATTGACATGTCACTCAACTCTAGTTACTCTCTCTCACTCAAGGATCCTCTACCTTTTTATAATCAAGGAAATGCCTCCTCATCGACTCTGACTCACCATCACAGTGGACTTCACACAGTCTCTTGTTTTTCCTTATAATTTTGGCAAAGTTTTCTTTTTTTGCTATAAAAGAATTTTGGTTTGTACATGTTAGACGAAGCTCCATTTTTGGACTTTGTTATTTCAATTATTTGTCGCAATTGAAGAACAATTCTTCAATTATTTGAAGACAAGTGGAACCTTTTAGAGACGTAAAACACATAATTCATGTAACTCGTGTGTTAATTCTTTTAAAACAATACGACGAAAAATTAGATTATCATCTTCAAATTACAACAATTTATAAATTATTAGGTTCAAACGGTGACAATTAAAGCTGTAGTAGAGAATAAAGTGGAACTTTGGCCAAACTAAAGAAACCAAAATCAAAATTTGGCGCCTTTTTTTTTGGGCACCACCAAGGCAAAGTTGCTGTTCAGTTGTGCGAAGCAAGCCATTCCTGACTTCCTTGAGAAGTTTGCAAACACTTCGTCACCCACCATCACCAAGTCTATGTCCATCTTCCGTTCAACTTTTTCTTTTCTATTAGATCATCCACAGTGGGGGGGTGTATATGGAGGTATATGTTAAATATACACCCCGAGTCATCGGAATCATCTCTAATGGAGAGATATAAATGGATGTAAATATACATCACCACCATGGGGATGTAAAATAAGATGTATATTTACATCTATTTTTACATCTCTTGCACGTGGGACCAACCCGAGAAAAGAAGAGGAAAAGTGGAGAAAAGTCATCATAAAAGAGTGGGACCCGCTGCTACAGTAATCGCTGAAAAAAAATTCACATGTGGAGCAATTTTGGGGATTTTTGGATGAAATCATATCTTCTCCGAATTTGAATATTTTTAGGTCTATTTGTTTGAAAAAATAAAATTAACCTAAGACAAAAAAAATTAATTTGATAAAGTAAACACAAAAACGAATTAAAACAAACAAATCAATTATACATCTTTAGATTTACATTGTTTCTAATTGGAGCAAAAAACTTATTTACACCTCCCGGAGATGTAAAGGGGATGTAAAAGTGGCTTTACACCTCCGAAAATACATCCCCCCCCACTGCATCCACAGTGGGGGGTGTAAAGTCACTTTTACATCTCCTTTACACCTCCAGGGGTGTAAATATATTTTTTGCTCAAGTGGGAGGGTGTAAATTCGAGGGTGTAGTCGTGGGTCCCAATCTTTATATTGACTTTTCTTCTATTTTCTCGGGTGAGTCCCGTCTGCAAGGGATGTAAAAATAATATACATTTTATTTTACATCCCCATGGTGGTGATGTATATTTACATCCATTTATATCTCCTCATTAGAGACAATTCCGATGACTCAGAGTGTATATTTAACATACACCCTCATATACACCTCTTACTGTGAATGCTCTTAGCTTTTAGCGTTTACTTTTGTGTCCACTAATCCATAGATTGTTGATAAATATATGACATTATTGAGTCACGAACCAAAAGTTACATCATATCATATGCACAGCTCAAGATTCTCCTGTCCTGTGTTATTTTCACTTGTCCAATCACCCTTCAAAGAGAAAGATTCTCTCACTTTAAAGAGGGGCTCGAATCAAATGGAGTCGTTGCTTTTCTGATTAGGAAAGATTTACAATTACAAAATAGTGAAAAAAAAATTATGGGGATAGAGTAATTTAAAAAAGGCACCCCTTATCTTTACCGCATTGTTTCTTATTCACCGCATGTCTTCCTTCCCCCAAGGCCCAAGTGATGATCTTGGTAAAAAAAAATTTGTCACGTGTGTTTACTATTGGGAATTGAGATAACAGATTTTGGTAGATAGATACAAATTACAATCGATCTCTGCTTTTGAACCTCTGATAATATAAAAATGATGAATATACACATTCACAAATCACCAAGTAATTCCTGAGCAAATACAAACTGAGAATATAATGAAAGAATCAGCAGTTGCTCTTCCTTTTTATAATGGGGGAAATGCCTCTCGCGACTCTGACTCACAGTGGATTTCACTCTAGTTTTTCCTTATAATTTTGGCAAAATTTTCTTTTTCTTTCTGTACTAGATTTTAAAATTTACAAATTTATAAATAAACCCAATTCTAGACATGTATTTATAAAAAAACCCAAGCACTATTTAAACATGGAAACACACCCAAATCAACAATTGTATATTTTTTGGGTGTGTTTATAAATGGGTTTTGAGTGTGTGTAATGATGAGTTTTGGATGTGTTTATAAAGTGTTTTGGGTGTTGGGGTTTTTTTATAATTTCAGCCCCCATTTTGGGTGTTTTAGTGAAACTCCCATTAAAATTTTGGTTTTTGTATGTTAGAAGAGGCTCCATTTTTTTTTCTTTATAGTTTCTTCAATTATTTGAACTTTTTAGAGGAGTAAAGCACATAATATGTGCCACTCGCATGCTAATTTTATTAAAAAAATAAAAAAAATAGGTTTTTTTTTTTTTTTTTTTTTTTTTTAATACAGAAAAAAAAAGGTTATTATCTTTAGATTACAACAATTTATAAATTATCGGGTTCAAATAGTCTATAGCCACACAAAAAAATTTCAAACCTATTTTTTTTTTTTTTTTTTTTTTTTTTTTTTTTTTTTTTTTTTTTTTTTTTTTTTGTTGGCAATCTCTCTACCGTTCATGACTTGAGAAGTTTGCAAATACTTCATCAACAAGTAAGTATATCTTCCTTTCAACTTCTACTTTCCTATGAGCTTTTAGCTTTAGCTTTTATACTAATCCATTGATTGTTTCATGCCAAAAGTTACATCATATGTATAGGAAAGAGAGAAACCCGCCATCCAGAACCAAAAACAAAAGAAAAGAAACCCGCCACTTCCATGCAGCTATGCAGCTCAAGATTCTTTTGTGTTATCTCTCTTTAAAGAGGCAGGTTGATCAAATGGAATCATGGCTTTTCTGACTAGGAAAGTGTAAATTTTTTTGGTGTATGCTATAGCTTTTCAAAATGTGGGATCTGCTTGGGCTCTAGGGGCTCTATGGTGAGGCTTTATATTATAGAACCCCAAGGAGGTTGAGCCCCATTTAAGGCCCCCATTGAGGATGGCCTAAGGCCATCCTCAATGGTTGGGGCTCTAAAAAGAGTTTATAGAGCCTCATTTAGAGTTCCGATGGAATCTTTGGGATTCTAAAGGAATCACTCCCATAATGTGAGGCTCTATATTTATGGTGGGCTCTATATTTTTTTAGGATGTAATTTGATTTACGTGGTTTTTATTTATTTATTAACTATTTTACTTAAATGTTTGTTCATGTTATGTTAGTTTTTGTTTCTTTGTGCACATTTCAACCAAAAAAAAAAACCAAAATTTGGAAGATTTGGATATCAACATTTTATTTCATAGATATGATACAACATGGTTAAATTAAAACAAGATGCACGTACAAGATGCACAACATAATGTAGTTGTTTATATTCGTTGGCTTTGAAAAAGTGGCTTAACTATATAGCTGTTTACACAGCTTTTGAAAAATTGGTTTAGCATGTTGTTGATAAAACAAATAATTGGCAAGTATAGCCTTGTACAATCGCAAGGCAAGTGAGAAACCAAAAGAGGTGGGCTGTAGCTTTTTTAATTTGCAGGACCCACTTGGTTTTAAGAGCTTCAACCAAGCACATACATTTAGCTACTACTCCGATTAGGCTTCAAGTTTTAGAGCCCCAAATTTGCACCATTGGGGATGTCTTTTTAAAGAGAGTTTGTATTTATGAGAGCTTTGTGGTGGTTAAGCCTCATATAGAGCCCCCATTGGGGATGGCCTAATGTATATATTTGTAAGAAATTTTCACATATGCAAAGCAGAAAGCAAGTTTGGTTTGGATGTATAAAGCAAGCAGTGCCTCATAAACATTATTAGGATATTAACATTTTGCATGCGCATCCTTGACAAAGAATGGAGACAAAACCAAACTATACATCTTCACCCGACAATCAAGCTTCACTTACTTCCGTTTACTTCTTATGTTTAGATATTCCACTAACACATGCCCTCAAACCCCTTCATCGCATTAATTTCAATTTCAGGTGTTTCTCATCCTTGTAATTTGATTTCGATAACATAGAAAGCACTAAAATAATCGTCACAAGCAAGCAGCTGCCCAACCAAAACCTAATCTTCTTTATTTTAGCTCTTTGCAATTGAAGTTCCTCCTCCGTGGTTTTGATATGCCGTAACAGCATAGGAATGATCTGCTTGGAACGATCACACATCTCTGGGTCCGCCCACTCCCACAAATCACACCGACGACTTGTCTGCATCATTGATGAATTCTGAAAAAAGAAAAACTACAAATAACAAAAATAAAACCCATCAAATTAGCATTATAAAACTCACCCCTTGTGTGCCACAAACATAGAACCTCCTTCCAGGATTGAACTCTGTCCAAGACGTCCTTAAGATCGCCTGTTTTCCACATTTACAGTATTTCCCCAACACAGCCTCGTGCCACATCTCAGCACCACCATCTGGGTTACCAAATTTTAATTTAATAAATTAGGTCAAATCAAGAGGGAATATAAGGAGGGAAGGGAGAAGTGGTGATTTGCCCTTCAAAGAGGGCTCACGTGTGTATCATGTGGGAAAACTGAAGTCGAAATAAATGAAATCATTCAAAAATTTGACGTCATGCCCCAAATTGGCCATTTTAAACAAATTTGTATCCTTAACAGCAGTTTAGCCTTACTAATATTATATGGAGTTGGTATCATGAAATTGTGTGCTTGAGCCTGCACATGAAGTACACATTTAGAAGAGCTAGCTGTGTATACTTCATCAAAGTAAACACGTACATTACTAGAACTGAGGAATTAGTGAGAGTCTCACCAACACACACGCAGACTCGAACAGAGACATAATATCTTTTCTTGTTTGGGCCATCGATGGATAATTAATCACAATGAATGAAAAGCATGAAATTGAGAAAGTGAAAAAAAATAAAACCTTGAGGAAAAGGTTGAGGTAGAAGCAGAGGGTCCTTAAAAAGTCGAACAGGAGTAATAGTAGAAGGAGGAGCATATGATGGACCTTGATACGGAGAAACACGTAGAGCTTTTGAAGATGAGGCAGAGGAATAGGAATAAGGTGGCCTCAGCCCTCCATGGTCTGTAACGCACATAGAGACAGACAGACAGACAGACATGGGTTTAAAACATCATGAAACAAAAAATTCCCACGAAAATGAAAGAAGTTAAAGTAAAAATCTTACCTTTGTGAACAGAAGGCGTAAATGGAGAAGCAGACAATTGGGTTTGCAGAAGAAAAACAGGGGCATACTTTGAAGGAGAGGGAGAAGGAGAGGGAGAAGGAGAGGGACATTGATATTGTGGTTTATTATGGATCATCCACATGATGAAGCCACTGAGGGTTTTAATTACTTTTGCCTCGTCGATTTCATGGAGGAGTTGGAGGGCCTTCTCCTCGCCCAGCAAACCCAGCCTCCGCCTGACGTCGTAGCCTGGCTGGGGTTGCTTTCTCTTGTTACAAAGTTGGTTCAGCAAATCCTCCACCAACGGAGGCAGAGCAATGTGCGGTTGCTGCTGCTGCTGCTGCGGTTGTGGTTGTGGTTGTATACAAGCATCGTCGGCCATGGCCGTCTGTGGCTCGACCATGTCATTGCTACTGCTGCTGTGAAAGTGGTTGATAGCTGAAGAGATATGATCGGCGGCTTCCGCCATCTCTATGTAACTGCGTTTCAAATTGCTCTGATTATTCATTTGCACTTAGCTTTCTGGTCTGACTAAATGGTAACTCTCAAGTTTCAAGTTTATGTGTAAAACTGAGGCAAAAGATAATGCTTGCCAGAATAATTTTCCATTAAGCAGTAGGTGAGATTTATACAAGAAAGTTTCCTATAATCAGGTTCAAATAGTGACTATTAAAGTTGTAGAGAATGAAGTGGAACTTTGGCTAAACTATAGCCACTAAAATCAAAATTTTTTTTTTTTTTTTCTTTTCTTTTTTTTTTTTTTCAATTTCATGATTTGAGAAGTTTGCAAATACTTCATCACCAAGTATATCTTCCTTTCAACTTTTACTTTCCTATGAGCTTTTATACTAATCCATTGATTTTTTCAGACCAAAAGTTACATCATATGTACGGGAAAGAAGAAACCCGCCATCTAGAACCAAAAAAGAAAAGAAAAGAAACCCGCCACTTCCATGCAGCTGTGCAGCTCAAGATTATCTTGTGTTATCTTTCTCTTTAAAGAGGCCGGTCGATCAAACGGAATTATGGCTTTTCTGACTAGGAAAGTGTAAACTTTTTAGGGGGGGATACACGGAGATGGTGGCTGGTTGGGGTTGGGAGGAGAAGGGGAGAGGTTTTATTTTAATTTTGAAATTGTACTTTTTTAAAATTATATTAATATTGTTTATTTTCAAAAGAAATGAATTTTTTAATAATTCCCCTCATAAGTAATGGCAGTTAGAAGAATTTGACAGAAATTAGGCAGTGTCTTTGAATTGCTTGGAATTGATAACCACAGAGGCAGCACAGGGCCAAAAAATGACTTTTTGCCAATTACAATCGACCTCTGCTTTTGAACCTCTGATAATATAATAATGATGAATATACATACACGTGTATTTCACATTCACAAGTTAAAGTCACCAAGCAATTCCTGAACAAATACAGACTAAGGGGGGTGTATCTAATTCTAACTTTTAAATACTTTTTTTAAGTGAATGACTTTTCTAAAGTAGACAAATTCTTAATGACTTTTACATACTTTATAAAGTTAAGTGACAAACTTTCATATACTTTTTGTCATAGAGTTTTATAGACTTTTAAATACTTATTTTTATATTTATTTTACAAATATCATTTATCTTTTATGTTGAATGAACTAGTCGGCATATATTGAACAAAAAATTAGGGAAAAAAACAATTGGATACAATTACATAAAAGCAAAGAATAGTTCTCCTTAACATTAGAAAATGATAAAAATGACAAAGTACATTTGAAAATGTACCATAAGGAAATAATTGGCATTCAACTAGCCATGATTCAGTTTTTAAAAAAGCTTAGCCATGATTCATTTCAATGACGGTGAATAAACCATAATACAAATTCCTTTGAAAATTCCAATGCTCATTACCGTTGAGTTCCGTTATTATCTTGCATGGCATTCCTTTTGAAAATTCCAATGCACCTTTTAAATTTTTATTTATCAAATCTAATCACATAGACAAGTAACATATTCTTATCAAAAGAAATAATAAATATTACTCAGTCATCAATAATATTTCATAAACACTCACAAATCAACATAAATGGTCAGATTACAAGAGTCTATATTCCAGCAATTCTCCTAACCTAATATGTGGGATGTAATCAAATTGAGAACATTATATGAAAAAATTATCCACCTAACGAATTATGGGTAAAGAAACAGCACCTAAAGAATTAATGGGTTTAGGGGCAAAAAATTATATAATAAAATATTGTATGCAAACATAGCATATGAGACAATCAATATAATAAAATATTTATATGCAAACATAGCTGAAGGAAGTGGATGAGAAGAGATATTCATCAACAGAAACGTGTGGATGAGAAGAGAAGAAAAACATTCAATATTTTTTTACTAACCTGAAGGAAGTGGATGACAATGGGATACCAAAGTGGAGCCCTAACCATGAAGAAAAAAGATCCATCTGCATGATGCTTGATATAACAAAGGAAGAAGGAATTGGAGACGTTTGGAGAAGTTTTGGTTCTATCTTCTCAGCTTCCCAATATTTTCATAAAGTCTGGTTTAAATTAGCAAGACTTTTGGTAGTAAGAATTACCTTTAAAAGTATTGAAAAGTCATTTATTTAACAAAGTTTTTAAAAGTCATTAACATTTTGGATACCTCAAAACTTTTAAATACTCTTTAAAACTCACAATTGAATACAACTAAACTTTTAAATACTATTTAAAAGTCACAATTGAATACCTTCAGACTTTTAAACTCATTAAAAGTCATTAAAAGTTAGAATTGAATACACCCCCCTAAGAATATAATGAAAGAATCATCAGTTGCTATATATATAACGTATATATTTGCAAGAAAATTTCACATCTGCAATGCAGAAAGCAAGTTTGGTTTGGATGTACAACGCAAGCAAGCAGTGCCTGCCTCACAAACACTATTAGGATATCAACATTTTGCATGCGCATCCTCGACAAAGAATGGAGATAAAACCATCCTATATATATCTTCACCCGACAATCAAGGTTCACTTGCTTCCGTTTACTTCTTATAATTAGATATTAGACGCATCACTCTTGGCGCATTCTATGCTTGTTGAACTTGGGAAGATTTTTGTGGGTGTGGCACGAGTTGCTTCCACCCAATCATGGTAAGTTAGTGTTAGCAAGTCCCATAGACTCTGCAACTTCTCTTGCGGAAAAATTGTCCGCTTGTGCCTGCATATAAAGTACAGATTTAGAAGAGCTAGTTATGTATACTTCATCAAAGTAAGACGTTATAAACACGTTCGTTACTAATATGATATGTAATTGGTATCATAGCTTCTTATACAAATTGCGATGAAGTAGTATGCATACCTGAAGGCGATGCAGCAAATACATCAAGAAGAGATGTACAAATACCTGCACATGAATTATTCTGGTTATTTTGTGATTTGATTCACTCCACATAGTATGTCTGCATAGTTAAGACTCTTTAAACACATGTTTAACTGTTTTACCAGGTAGAATAGCAAGATAAGTCGAGCTGTTGGATAACGCCAGAGAAATCTTGTGGCCCTGACAGCTCCTGAATCTAATAGTTTTGCTGCCTTCTGCAACTGCATGAGACAAGGTGAAACATCAGAGTATGAAAAGGAGATCAAGAATAATGATAGATAAGAAAAGACGTACCTGTATGCTTGCCCCAGCCATATGACGGTGATGCAAGGGAAGAGGCCTGCAGATTTTATTCTTTTATTAAGCTTCCAAAAACTAAAATAATTATGAAGCCATAACATACATTTATAAACTAACATGTATGCAAGTGCATTGAAGTAAAGATGTAGGGGAGAGATGATGGCAAAGTATAAAGAAAGAAAACGCATTACTTAGAGAGTCAACATACTCAAGTGCCTTCATTTCAGCATCTTCTTCCCAGGATGCTGATGCTCGACGGGGAACTCTACTCCTTTCTGCCTCTACCTGTTCAATATAAAGTGAATTTAAATGCAGAAGGGAAAAAAATGCGATTTTTAAAAATAAAAATAAAACTGGACTCTAGAATCTATATAAAGCCTATCAACCAAGCAGCATAAAACACCTAGGGACAGACCTGTGCTTCCTGGAGACGCTTCAATTCCTTCTCCAAGTGAAACTCAGCTGCAGCTTTTTCACTAGCCATGGTTTCTAATTGTGTTTGCTTGTAGTACTGAATAATAGATGGAATAAGACATCTCTTCATAAAGTACCGATATGTAACTGACCATGTAAATAAGTATTTTTTTTAGTGAGATTACCAATAGATCAGTTAGTTCACGGTAGCGCTTCTCTAGCTCCATGTGTTCCTAGAAAATGGCAAATATAACCAGTAAATAACATAGTGCTTAAGGATAATTCATACCTAGTAGAACTCATTATATATTTTTGAGAGAGAGAGAGAGAGAGAGAGAGAGCAGATATCACCTGACGCGAGTAATGCTCTGCATCCCTCTTCATGGCAGCCATTTCAACTCTCATTTTTTGCATTTCGGCCTGAAATCAAGCATATCAATAAGTGTTATAAAAACAAGTTGTCGAACGAGGCAAACAAATTCAAAACACAAAGATACAAATTGATCATAACAAAACTGTTAGGCAAAAAACAAAGGACACTTACCTCCAAAGAAGAGAGTTTCCCCTCTGCATCCCTCTGACCTTGGCGTGCACGTTCCACTTCTTCCTGCCATGCCTGCATCTTAGTATCCATTACTGTAAGTGAGTACAATAATAAAGTGGTATTTAATTATCCTCAACTGATTGTGCCTATACCAAAGCACTCTATAATATATCAGAATGAATAATGCACATAAACAATAACAAGTTGTCCTTCTATGCTATTTAGATTGTAGGCAAACAAAACAATTAAAATTACTGGAGTTAGAAGCTTGGCAATGTGCTAAATATCAGACTAAGGATACAAAAAAGAATATCACGCCTATAAAAATCCTGGCATGAGAAAGAGTTCATACACGGGCCAAAGTAAAATTTGGATTCGTACTTCTAACACATGACATATGTGACAATGAGACAGGTACTTATTATTACCAAGGGGGAAAAATCTCACTTGAAGTTCAAAGTATAACTAAAATGTAGTAAATTTCATGGATCAAGAAAAATAAATTCTCCAACTGAACTATGGAATAAAAAATATGAGAAGGGGTTCAGATGTAAAATCAACAGAAGAAATACCTGAATCACTTGATTTGCCTCTTCTGGTGACTTCTTTTGCCCACGCCGAGCACGAGCTTCCATATCTTGCAGCTCTTGGTTTAAATTGGCACATTCAACCTGATGGCATATAGTATTATCATCCAAGAAGCTCCACCAATGAACAGAAACGTCAGTACAAAATAATTTAGAATGTTTGTTCTACCTCAAGCAATGCCATCTTCTGCTCAAGCTCTGATGCCTTTGCTGTCCTCTCATCTGCAATTCTCTGAATAGGGAAGCATTTACAACAATCAGTAAATTATGGTCAAACTCACAGATTTATACTGCTCTTGGGAGAAAAAAAAAACAGAAACACAAGAAAATGCAAGATCTTCCCAGACAGAACAATGAATTGTAGGCTGAACTCTTAACTTCATAGATGCGTACACAAAGTATAATTCCCTTGATAAAAATCTCAATGAAGAACAAAAATTTGTAAAGAATCAAAAGGTAACAAATTCATTAGATATAAAAACCTTACATGCAATTGCATTGCTATAGTGTTCATGTAAAAGCAAGCTAAGAAGGGTAGTAAACATAAATGTATACAGAGACATGGAGAATAAAAAAATTAATCTTATTAAAAAACAATGGGGTAAAAGTATTCTCATTAATACAATGAGTCACAAACTTGAAAAGGGCTTACTTTACCTGGATCCTCGCAAGGGCCGTGGATGCCTCAAGGGCTCTGTGTTCCAATTCTACTTCCCTTTCCATTGCAGCCTGTTTTACAAGAAAGTGATCATCACAGTGCACTAAAACAACCAGGGAGACAGAAAATTATTATTAATAGTTTGTTGTAGATACAAACCATTTTGGTAGCATTATGTGCGGCACGCTCTTCTTCTGCTCTCCGTTCTACAGTAGACAACTCCTCTCGTAAAGCCTGAAGAATATTTTCTCACTAATTTCAGAATCTAATAATAAAAGCAGTATATGCAAGTATATGCTAAGGATCCAAATACAAACAAGGAAGCATCATACAATCTCACCTGCATCATCCTTGTCTCGGATAGTTCCCTATTTCTCATGATAGACTCCATGTTTGCCTGATATATAAAATTAATTAAGTAATTCAAAATAAAGTCTAACTATTATCAAAGCCTCAACCAGTCGAAAATATAAGTCAAGAGCATCCAAAGTTGCACCAGTTTCTATAAAGGGTAGGCCAAATAAGTAGAAGAATAGAATACTGAAAAAGTTGAACGTGGTAATTCAAGCAAACGAGCCCTTAGTATTACTAAAGCCTCTTCCCACTGTGTACCACTGACAGTGGTAGAGAGAGAGAGAGAGGGTATGAGGAAAGGAATATTATACATCCATAATTAAATGTGGTGGGTGTAATGAAACCTGCAGCGAAGCCAGATTCCCTTCAGATAAAGCAGCCTGTTTCTTCAGTGCATCCATGGAGCTGACAAGTGCCTCAATTTCTGAATTTTTTGCAGCCAAGGCCTCAACCATATTTGACTCTATTCTTGTCACATCACTTTTGGATGCTGACAAATCTTTCTGGAGCTGTTTTATGCGAGCTTCATATGACTTATTCAGCTCTCTCTATCAAAATAGCAGTCAACAGGTAAGACCAAAGCAATATATATCATATGCCTCTACGGTTAGAAATTCACTTAATCCTTGAAATATAGCAGGAATTTGTCTCACCTCTGACACAAGAAGTTCCTCTAGCTGTGCATTTTCAGATTTGTATTCTTGAAGTCGGGATGAAAGTCCAGCACAAACCTAATAATCAATGATAACCAATGGATTAACAAAGCATTCAAACAGAAAACTTCTAAAGGAAGCAGAAAGCTTGTTAGAGTATGCGTGAAACAGGTTCATCTGATTTAAGGTTGACCTTTTCTGAGAGACTAACTGAAAGAAAAGTGGCATTCCTACTTCAACGACTTATGACTGTAAATCAAACAAACAATGAAGAAAAACAGAAATTAATAGGGCTTACCCTTGCTAACCTTGCCTCTTTAGACTGACCAGTGGAAACAGCAGTTTTAAGCAATCCTTGGGCCTGCACACCAACTAAAAAAACTACTCAATAATAGCCTAAATGGCAAGGTAACAAGATTCACAGCCAAAATAAATGAAGTACGCGAGATATTCACCTCATAGTAAATAACTTACCTCCTCAATTTGATCCTGTTCCTGTACTTTCACAGGAGTGCTACCAGCTTTATGGTCAACTTGCTTACTTTGATCCTGTTCCTGTACTTTCACGGGAGTGCTACCAGATTTATGCTCAACTTGCTTACTTTGATCCTGTTCCTGTACTTTCACAGGAGTGCTACCAGCTTTATGCTCAACTTGCTTACTTTGCTCAATTACTGGTTCCTCATTACCATCAGCAACTTTAGATTGAGTTTCTCTATTACTGATGGCAGTGGTAGTTGAAGACTCTGTTCTATTTTGGTCAGTTTCTGGATGTACATCTGCGTCTCTAGATTTGTTATCTTGGCCAGCATCAACTGATTCAACTTGATGGTTTTCATCCACAACCTCAACTTCTTTGGCAGATAATGGAAAAGGATGTTCTTCATGACCATCTAAGGGAATCTCATTGACAAGCTCACCATTTGAAGTTGAAGTAACAGCTTCTTTATCAGTACTAGTTGTTGACGCTTCTGCTTCATCAGCATTATTTTGACCAAGTTCAATTGCTGTTGTCTCTGTTAAAGGAATGCTTACTGTGGAATCTTTCTCACGATTCTGTTGCTTCTCATTGATGGGTTGACTTGAAGGATTTACCGATGGTGTCCCATCATTGTCATTTAAATGAGCATCACTGTCTATTTCAGGTGTCGCATCTACTTGTGATGTCAATATACTTATCTGTTCGGGTGCAGAATCACTTGTATTAGGAGATTCATTCATGGACTGTCTCTTTTGACCCTGCAAACAACCAATGTGTGAGACAAAGAAGTTGATAAATATCTATATATGTGCGTTTGTGAAACAGTACTCCGTATTTTCATAGGTAATCTGGCAATACCTTGGTCTTTGACTTTTTCCTCTTGGCTTGAGATCCTTGCCCATTGGAAGCTTCACAAGAGGAAGACAGAAATAAAATTAGAAACAGACATGGTGGTCTTCAAATTATCTGACAGACAGTAAGTTGATAAATTGAAGGATGAAACATGAACATTATAGGATTCATTACCAAGGCTCTAACGTGCGTCTTAACAGTACATTTTAGGAAAGAAGAAAAGAAAAGGAGAAGGGACCAACTAGATAAGTGGGTAAAGTCACTTGGTGTTATCCCAACTCAAAAGGACTTAGGCTAGGGATGCGGCAGTTTATGGAATGGAAAGCTAATACGTAACCCATATGTGCAATGGAACTCCAAACCAAAACAAAACAAAATGTATATAAAAGATTCCAAGACAATTCAAAGATAATACCTGGTGATTGGGTAGCCAACTGATCGTCTAACTCACTGACAACCAGCTTTGCCCTCCGATCGACAACTTCAAACAGATCTGAGGCCAGAGAAAAGGTGACAAACTTTTACACATCAAGGGCAGAAGAAAAGACACATTATTATAAGGATTTTGACGTGGGGCTTGTACAAGGATGATATAGAGAATAAATGATCGTATTGTACAAATGGATGGTGCAGGCACTCTTTTCTGTTTTTATGAAAACTCAAGAAACTAGTCTTGAACTGAACCAGGGACCTAGACTGAGCTGACCAAATCTCTCTAGCTCACTTTCATGTCATTTCACACAATTCATGAAATGTGGCAACTCCCAGTTTTTGGGTTTATCAGACAAGCAAATGTGTCCAAACTGAATTCGATATTCAACAATTAACTCCAAAATGCTATTCAAGAAACAAATACCCAATGCCAACGGCATCGCAATTATCAGACATGCAAATCTAAACCTAACCCCATTATTGCTACTTTACGCTTATCAACCCCAAACATCGTCCCGCATTATATCATCCACTAAACACCTCGAATAATTTCAATCAGCATAAGATCAAACCCTAAACACATTCCAAATCTAAATGAAAACCAAATTAAATATTAAAAAAACCAGCAAATTAAGAGAAAGAACAGAAGATCCAAACCTTCAGCAGCTTTGAGCCAGGAAGACATTGGAACAAACCGAATTCGGATCTAGCAACAACCGTGGCTTAGAGACCGACTAATGGAGCTTCCATGTAAGAAATGGGAAGAGATTATCAAACTTCGTGAAATGCGTCCCCTCAACTCGCAAGGGGTGAAGAAGGCAGCCGTGACTCGTGAGTCGTGACTCGCGACGCAGTTAGTTGAGAAGGTTTTGCGCTAACGAGTAAAACTGAAGAAAGAACAGAAACAGAGAGACGAAGTTGTTCAGGTGAGATCGCGACCACCGTATCCGTATTTGGGCACTTCTTTTCCACGTGGCTAATGTGTAGGGACTTGGTGGGTTGATAAATGGGCGTGGCCCAAGTTACGAGCCCATCCAACAAAAGCAATAGGGGCCTTCAAATCTTGTAAACCTCCAAACTCAGGCCCAAATTTAATCGGCCTCTCCATTACTTCTTTAGCTAGGCACTCGTCATTTTTCAATCGGTTTTAGTGTGTTATCATTTTTTTCATTTAAAGATTGGGCTTGAAGGGTCTTTTTCTAAATTGTAAAGTTATCATGGGATTATATGAGTCACCATACAGTAAGGGCCTTATTTAGGTGAAATTATATTTCTTAACCGTTGAATCAAATTAACCACTTTGATCTAATAACTAGCTAATTAATTTCATCCAACGAGTAAGAGATATGACCTCCTCTAAGGGCCTTAATAAGACCCCCACTATAGAATTCTGCAGGATTATATGTGGCGTACTCAAAGTATTGTTATCAAATAAAGAGATTAATAAAATTTCGGGTTTAATTGACCATATTTCTAATTTTCTATTAACTGAAAATCAAGTTGCGTGGAGGCTGGATTTTGATAGGGATATTCAGAAACCACAAAATGTGGCACTCAAACTTTGTATAATTATTTTGGGCAATGAACTTTATAAGAATCTCAAGATTTTATCACGTACAATTAAATAATGGTTGAATCAAATTTTGGAAATTGAAAGAGAAAGTGGTTAACAATTAATTTGTGTGTCCATGTCGAACAGTCGATGTCAAGTAATCATGCATGGCGCTGCGCATGTCTACAAACACTGGCATTGGCTCTTCAAAAATTCAGAAATTAAACTCCAAAAATTTATTTAAAAAATTATAAATAAAAAAGAAGAAGAAGAAGAAAAGTTAATAACCATGAATATTAATTTAATGATGATCTGTACATATATAGTTGTATTCATTTGCAAGATAAGAATGGGAGGATGGATCAAGTTTTAGGAGAGCGAGAGAGAGAGAGAGAGAGAGAGAGAGAGAGAGAGAGAGAGAGAGGAGGCTCTTTAGTGCTTGAGAGAGACTTTTCTTCAATCACGCAACCATACATCACAATCTCTCACCTACTCTTTATAATTAGAGTCATTCTCTTCGTTTCTTTTTACCTTTGTTTTTTTTTCTTTTACTCCTCAAGATCTATAAAGCCGACAATTGTTAAGTAAGTAGCTGGTTTTAGTTTGTAAACTTTTATATAGTTTGGAGAAACTTTAAGATGCATTTTCATATTATATATATGCATGTATGTGCATCAATATTGGTGTTGGTGAAAATGTATTGTTATTCTGTCGGCATGTTTTAGTTGCAGTAATAATATCGATATCTTATCGATGACATATCGATAATTCTGTTTTTAATAAAGATAGATCGGACATCATGTACAAAGCCATACTATATTGCGCAAAAATATTTATAGAGTATATATGTTATTTTTTAGGGGTTTATACAATCGATATTTTATTTTAATTTAATCTAAACTACATTGAGGGGGATTCGAACTCGAGTGCAGAGTTGAAAGCATATATATATTTATATATATTAGGGTTTAGACAAGGTTACAACATAGTAATTCATATTTTTGAATGAAGTTTTGTGCTACTGATCTGTTAGACAAGGTTAATTTCAACAGTGGTAGTAGTTAATTTGTTCCTTGGTAATGCGATGTTGGGCACCTTTAAATATTATTTTTTTACTTTCCGAAAAGTCAATATGCAAAAAAGAAAAAGTGAGGTGGACCCACCATATTACGTATTAATAAATATAGTTGAAAAGAAAAAAGAAAAAAGAAGGATAATAATAACAATATATGAAGGAAAATAAAAAGTTCACGACTGAAATTGATCGGCATAAAATGATTTTTTTCTCTTCTTATTAGCGCATAGACTGAAGGATAATGTAATCAATTTGTGTATTAGCTTGTCTAGTGAAGTGATTGCCCTTTGTCTTAATTGTAACCTGCCCCGCATCTTGTGAAGATCTATTAGATGGAGCACGAGCATGCACGCCAATCAAAACTAAAGACAAAGTTGCTGTCAATTTTGATATTTCTTATCGAATTTAAAACCATGATTTGATTAACCACTATACCTAAGCTAACTCTCTTGCATATTTCATTAACCTTAAAACCAAAACAACAATAAGCCGGAGGATTTCAGTTTGATTAGTGTTTATATCCGCCATCTTATATACGTATTTACACAAAATCAGCATATTATATATATAGTCTATTTTTATTGAGAAATTCTTTAAATAAACTAAAATAATAAACGATACAGATCTTTAAAGAAATACCTAAAAATTAGACGGATCACGGATATATATAAGTTATAACCATACTCCCAACCAAATATGAGGTTAGTATGTATGTGACCTAAAATTTGTGCTAGCTGGCCATGGGCACCATATATATGTAAATTACCTTGCAAATGAAAATTTGTGGCGATCTTTAATGTCCAGTTCATTGCATTGGTAGTGACCCTCTAACAACGTAACCAAACTGGATCAGAACCACTAGTATCGCCATCACAAACGACGACACTGGACAGACAAACCATAAACCCTAATAAATCCAAAGCTCCTACTCACCAACCTGGAAAGGCAATACATTAAAAACTCACACACGAGGTCAAGACAAACATAACGCTCTATCTTTAGAGCTCCTTTGCCAGGCAATTAGTCGCAGTAGGTACAAAGGGCTCTCTATAGCTTTATAAAAAGAAGAGAGAGATTCACACAACAACACCCTTTTTCTTTTTCTCCTTTTTATTACCAACAAACACATTAAGACAACAAAAAAAAGGTAAAAACACATCAAGTGGAGAAGAATCAAAATTATTGCTCCAAAGAGCCTCGGTTTCATCTAAACCTACAAGTCTAAAGCAGCTACAACATCCTGACATTAAGCAATCTAGCTAGTACCCAATTCCCATATCATAAGAAAACTAAAAAAGTTAATTAACACTCAACTCAAAGTGTGTGTCGTATGCGCCGGTCATATATAAACAATTTCGCACAATATGCACTCAGAATCTTGTTATAGGGTACAAACGAGATTCATATACATAAGTTGAGCAATGTTACATACATATATAACCGGCACATACAAAAATTCCTTGCGTGTGAGGATACTTTTATGTGCAAATCACAAAGCTGATACGGTGGCGAAAGCAAATTAACCATGCATTGCTGAAGTTGAAATTAATAATTGTTGGTCCACTGATAATCTCATCGACCACGCATGGCATGGTATGATGGAGATTCAAGAACAGCCGATCTTTTCTGCAACTTGAGATCTTTATAAAACCTTTTAATAAACTCCTCAGCTTCCTTGTCCACCTGGCTATCCCCTTCCTCCTTTAACGGAAACGGAGAGTCCGTTATCCTCAGCTGCCTCACCATGGGGCTCTTCCCAAACCCCGGCAACGTCACTAACGGCGACGCCTCCGCCACCATCTCATTGTTTAGCATCTCCAGCACCTTCTGAACTGCATTCATTGTGGTAACGTCGTCGTATTGGTAGGCTCTGGCGGTCTTGGTAAAATAGTGGTGGTGGTGTTTGTTGCGCTTGTTGAAATGAAAAGGGTTGTGAATGGCGGGGCTGTTGCTGCAGCTGAACTCGTATTCTCGGGGTGTTATGAAGGAAACGGCGTCGTTGGAGCGGCAGCTGAAGCCGGAGGAGTGGTGGAGCATGAAGTTGTGGGCTATGGCCTTGCCTGCAAGCTTGCCGCGTTTGAGCATTAAATGGAGGTCAACAAGTAGCTTGCTCTTTGATAACCCTTTTCTCACCATGAAGAACACTACGCGTACTAAGTTCCACAATTTTTTGGCCACCATTGGTGGGCTTGGTTCCACTTCCATTTGTATAATTGAGTGAGAGAGAGAAAGAGAGAGTTTTTGTCTTTGAGAGAGAGAGAGAGAGAGAGAGAGAGATTATCAGAAATTTAGAAGGGTTTTTTTGGTTGGTTCGAGCTTGTAAGGGTGAGGGAGAGGAGGTATTTAAAGGGGTTGGAAATTATTATTTAATAAATAAAGATTAAAATGATAATTATATGGCGGAGGAGACGTGTTTCAATCTCTTTTATGGTGCGTGTTGTTGCAGTCTCAAGAGAAGAAAATGAAAAAAGGCAAAATAAAGTGGAGAGTGTTTGTTTCACGCGTGTGGAGGAGTGAGGACATAGGCATTCCTAAGTGAGAGGAATTTGGTGACAATTTGCAATAATTTGTGTTTTTATTGATTTTGTTTTAGTGGTTTATATGATTGTTTGGCTTCGGCAGATTACTAGAAGGCCCCTAGGGTGGAACCAAATTACTTAAGTATGCTCCCACATTCAATGATTAAAGATATTTTGGGAAGGTCCCAAGTGTCAAACACAAGCCTTTTGCAATAAGGTACTCATATCTTAGCCTTTTTCGAAATGCGAATCCTCCATCTATTTGTGTTTTTGGTGTTCAAGGCTAAAAACACAAATTAGCTAGTATGATATAATTAAGCACTAAAAACACAATTAGGGCATTTGGATCCATCATGTTCTTAGAAGGATCATACATATTTTGATGTTCTCCTGACATCAAACGAAATAAAATGCAAAAAATTAAAAAAGAAATTAGGAAAACCAACCAGTTTTTGGTTACAGTATAGGCAAGAGGTAAAGATTGCAGGAATTAGTCGATTAGACTTGAGACTCACCCAAAGCTTAGCTCGATCATTAGTCGATTTTAAATGTGTTTTTATTAGCCCCAAATTTCCATTCTTCTTAAGTTCAATCAAATTGGTTCCGAGTTAGTTAATGTCGTAAGGTAACGTGGATATAAATTAATTGAGCGTCATAATTAACACGCACAAAAGGTCACTTTGACTCCATAATTGTCATTTAATTCGGAAATATTTTTGTTCAACATTATAACTAAATGTTTACTATCATCACCTTTCTCAAAGTTTGGCACGTGTTCATTGACATAAGCATAGTTAACTATTTGCTTTGTAATTATGGTTATATTTATGAACACATGTTAAATGTTAAAAAAAAACGATAATAATACCATTTGATTAAAATGGTAAGCAAAAATACTTAGAATAAACGTGGCTTACTTTCAGCACCAGCTAACCTTCATAGGCAATATGTAACTTAGTTATGAATCTATGATCAATAATTAATCGATATGATGATGAGCATTTGAATTTGACATCACTTTCGCCCGGTAAAAATGGTGTTTTTCGAAGCAGCAGGCATTAGACAATGGCGTTGAAAATTTTGGTTGCTACAGCTCCCATGAGAGAGATCGGGGGTGGAGCCAGCCAGCCTGACAAGGTTGACAGGATTGAATAAGAGCACCTACTCTGAACACGTGGCCATCTCCCAAATGAATCTTTCACCGTACACGGCATATACGAAAACCAAGCTTTATGTGTACCCAACAAATAGTATTGGTAGTTTCTGTTGAAGAAAGCAAGAAACCCTGCGATATATTCTATCATTATTTTTTCTTCTCCTCGAAGTATATCATTGGGGCAATAAATTGGATCCTTTTTCGCCACCTGAATTGGCTAACCTATTACAATATACGTGTTTTAATGTTTTCATGATGAAAATGCTAAGATAACATTGTCGACTTGATGAAGAAAAGCATAATTTGGTACCCCATCTTGCTAGCTAGCTAGCTTTTCCTTCTTTTCAACCCCAAACAAAATGCTTTTCCTTTCACGATCGACTTCCACCTAACCTGCTTGGAAATTCACTTGTGCTACACAACATTGATTTGCGTGCTGTCCCGGCATATGATATATAATAGAATGTGGAGCATGTAGGGTGGTGGACTTTGAGTCGTTTTGATGTGTGCGAGACTCGTTTTGAGAAATGTGCATATACAGATTCACACGCCGATATTATCTTTGTTGTTTGCTCATATCAAATAGTGAGAATTTAATGGAAATTAAAAATGCGAAACTTGTCAGGGTTAGTGATTTAATTATCAACGCTGTCTAATTAGTCATGCAAATTGGGCGTGTGTGTTAGCCGAGTGAAAATGATTGGACGGAGCCGACTTCGGATGATCATCAGTAGCTTCTAGAACTATTAAGCCATAATCAATTTTTGTGGTGATGAACGAGCCACCATTCCTAATCCCACGCACTCAGCTACATACAACTTTTGCTCTTCCAGAAAAATAAAAGAAAAGGCTGCATATAACTTTGGAAAAGGAAAATGAAAAAAAATCTTCTTTTTATGGTCTTCAGTGAAATTACTTTGGGATTGGATCACGAACGAAACCTAAAGGCTTTTCAAGACTTTAAATCCCACCAATGAGCGGTGGCCACGAAGGAATCCTAGTACTCATGATGGTTGTCTAATTTGAAGGCTTCTTATATATATATTGATCATGCATGCAATAATTTGTTATTTATTTATTTAATTTATTTTGGGTGATTGGGGTGGGGGTAAATATATCATATTCATGGGGCATGTTTTTGATCAAATTAAGTTGCCAACTCTTTAATATTTTCGGGGACTTGTGGTCTTATTTTAAGTTTGAAATTTCTATTTTCCAGCCTAGAATTTAAGTTTAAATTGTAATGGATGTAAGCTTGCATAAGCTGTCAAAAAATATCAGGCAAAACTAGCTGTGCCTCTTTTTTTTGTGCCCTTTCTGATTAAATTTGTTTTCATATATATAGAAGTGTTCACATAAGAGAGTAATTGAAGACATAAGTTTTTTATTTGCTTCTCATTCATTGCTCCTTTCCCGGAAAGAAAAACAAAAAGATTTGAAAGCTAACGGACTCATGATTTCAAAATAAAGTAGGTTAAATTTACTTTAAGGACGAATTGTTAATTTTGAATTGAGCTAAACCCTAAACCTATATACTAACTGCAGGGAAAAAAAATTAAGCCCAGGTTAGACATCCAATGGGACCGTGAGAAAAAGTATTAATCAATTTGATTTTTTAGCTTAAGATAATTAATTTAATTAAGCACCTTCATTTGCTGGTATATCCTTTCTGCTTTTCTATTTAATTTATACTAACATTAATATAGGAAAGACAACCAAACAAACCAGTCAACATCAGTAGGGCAGTGCATGTTTTTCCTTTTTCGTTCAATAAATCATTTAGGCAACTCATTTTTCGTCTTTACTTCGAGTGGAAGAAGTGCAGAACAAAGTGTGTGTTTTATTCAAATGAAGCACTTTATGTGGGGACTTTACGAATTAGGATTGGTTTGAAGTTTGAAGTGCTTTTAGGTTTCGAGGGTCCCTAATTTCGTGGGACATTATAACCTAACATTAACATTAACCTATATGAGGAAAAAGAAAATACGAAAGAGTTCGGGAGGGTTTGATTTGAATTTGTATCAAATATGAGTTTTACATGTACTTTGTTCATAAGTGTCTAACACATTGCGTGTACGATATAATTTAACTTGTTCGGGGAGTATTCTTCCTTAAAGTGTACTTTCCCATTCCTTGCATTGACTCTGGGTTAATTTACACCAAATTAACAATCAAAACCAACTTGTCTTATGATGTTTACATGCAATTAATTAAAGATAATAAATATGATCAAAGTCAAGAACTTACATACATATGTGTATTATTAGGCCAACAATTATAGAGAGTTATCAACACGGCACAGCAGGGACATATACCAATAATTCAGTGATGAGATATTAGCAGTTTCCAAACTTGGGAAGACTAAGAAAGAGACTAAGGACGACATTAAAATTGATTAAGAGCTTGACAAGTTGGTCAGAACGTCTACCATTCTATGATATCTAGCTATAGCTAGAAGATGCATGAATAGTGTAGTAGCTAGGGCATACAAATTGCCACTCATTTCTTTGCTTCCACATCCATCCATACCACACCTACTTTGATCATTTTTCCTTCACAATTAATTAATTATGCATATATATATATATATATTAGATATTTGAGTGTCCTAAATTATTGGTGTGGTCCGGCAAAAGACAGGTTAAAGAGGGATCGATGGATGTAATTTTCATGGAAATGTCCTTGATTTGAAAGTCGTCTGTGGGCAAACTCTGTTTGCAAGGTCAGCTGGCTACCTAGCTAGCTTTTAATTAGAAGTCATCTAGCTTTTGGGACTTTGCCATCGTCTACCAGTTCCAGTCCTCTGCGCATGAGATGCTTGATGTTCAATTGATTTCATGGTGGGCTCTGTTGCATGTATTGGCCTTTAACAGCTGCCATGTGGCCTAAAGTTTGCTTGGTGCTGTTTGGCGGCCTCAAACGTCCATCTCGGCATTTATTTACAGACCCAAACCTTATCTTCAAGTACATATGATTACCAGGAAGCTGGCTAGTGTTGATCCATATCGATCATCCACCGATCGATCTTATTTTTTCATGCAACCACTCTGTACAAATAGATCACTTAGTATATGTGATGTCATTTTTTAGGAAAAGAATATGTATCTTGGAGTACATGTAATGTTTTTTCTTAGGAATAGAATGTGATGACTACATGCATATCATGAATCCCAAGCAAGGTTCATTTATATGTAACTGACTTCAAGCATTGTTTTATCTAACATATGAAGTTATGATCAACATAGTTGTTGATGCCTAAAAATTGGATCTCCGATGCTTAAGTTAGCTTAAGGACGAAGTAGATAGCAATTTGGACAGAGTAAGAGTTAAGTAGCTGAATGTAACAGTTATCTTATTTTGGGGACTTGTGCCCCTATTTATATATCTTGGAAGGTATGACCTTCGAGTGATATTTCGATATGAGATTGTGGACATTACTTGAGAGGATGCCATGTGTCCTTTGTCCAGCTTGGTTTAGCAAGCGCCTTCTTTAGACGGATCGGCAAGTTGGGTTGCTGAAGGCTCACCCTGTCGATGGTTTGTTTATGGGCTGAATTGCTGAAGGCTCACACCTCGTTGTTTTGACTAGGTTCTGTAGGTTCTTTTGTAAGTCCCATGTTCTACGTGTCACGAAATAATTGACCGGTTAGATATGGTATAAACAATAGCTATAAAAAAATTAATTAATAGGCGTTTAATTAACTCTGTCTTTATTTATACAAGGATGTAAGTTAGATGGGAAATTCTGATTTTAAGTGAAACCAATGTAGAAAATTCAAGACTTTAGCATCTATTTCTAATATGATTATGTAATTTCTCAAAATTTGAAAGTTCAACCACATAAGATCTCTCACTAATTTCTCTAACTTTTCCTAACTCGATCATCAAATTAAGACGAAGAAAATGTACTTTCCCATGATTTGATATGCAGAGATCACATGAATGGGAAATTTGGGTTCCAACCGCAACCAATATATGACTATTTCGGGTTATGCAACAACTAATAATTAAGGTCCAAATTTTGGAATTCCTAGTATTGGAGAATGTCGAAAAAAAATTTGTCTCGTACACGTGGCGGGGACGCATTGGTCAGAAACGCCCGTCTTCTATCCCCTTAACCAGCGGACGAAAGTGGCAAGTCGTTGTTTACGAAGGCGGCAACCAGAGCACAACAATCACGAAAGCCGTCTCATTTTTCCCGCCAATCCCAAAATATCCGCTCTACTTCAATTTATTTGCGAAAAGCCCATCTCTGAAAGCGTCTGATCTGCCGGTCAGTAGGGGTACTTTGGGGTTCATGCCCCAAAAATAACCGCTAGTTCATATTTTTTCTCGATCCTTCCTTCCATGCCCAAAAGAACCAAAACTTTGCAAAACAAGAAGAAAATTTTCAACAGCAGGCGGAGATTGATCCTGGTTTAGGGTTCATTGGACTTTCCATTACTGATAAGAAGGTAAAGTTTTCTCTATTAAAAAGAAAAATTAAATATTTTCTTGTGAATTTCTTTGCTTTCTTGCTAAATTTCTGAATCATTTATATTTTTATTAAAGCTCTGCTGTAAAGTGATACATAGGAGTATGAGTGTAATCTTTTGCTGTTGAAATAGTGGGAAAGAAATAAATCAAAGTATTGAGTTTGTAAGCGCAAATTTTCTTAATACCCTGAAATATTCGATCTTTTGTGAGTTATGAACTTGACTTTAATTTGGACTTTGTTGACTCAGATGATCCAAATTTTCAGTCCCTTTTGCTGTATTTTCTCAGGAACCAAATAGAGGGTTTCTGCTGATCTAGTTCTAATATGAAGCCAAAGGAAAATTGTTAGAACACGTTTGGTTTTGAAAAGGGGGGGAAAGATAAAAGCTCTCTGGTTGCAAACCCCTATTGCTGATAGTGGTTTAGGGTTTTTTTTTCTTTCTATTTCTGATGTTGGTAACAAAACCTTATTGCTTATTTTAATTTTGAGTTCTGTCGTTTTTATTTCATATAGTTCCTTTATATCTCTGCATTATAAACAGTGGAAATCAATTTATGTACATGTCAAGGTCATTTTTACAATTTTGTTTTTGGTTCCTGAGGTGAGGTCTTTCAATTGATGAAGCAGCTTATCTTTTGAAGCAGTTGTACAGAATTTGATGAATTCCCAGTCTACTTGCCGCAACCAGAGACCCAAAGGGTTGAAGGTAAAGCTGGTCTTTCAGATTGCATTGCTTTTGGCTGTTTGCTTCTGGTTGCTATACCAGATGAAGTATTCACATGAGAAGGCCTATAGTGGAAGTGCAGAGAACAAGGTTAGTGAAGAACGCGGTTCTGATATTTTGGGGCGCAAAGGGAATGCAGGGTGGTCAAAAGATGGCGGTATATTTGGATTAGAAGATGTAAATCTTGTGGAAGGAAGTATAAAGAAAGAAGATGGAGGTGTTGGAGATGATATGTTAGGTGAAAATGCTGAAGAGAATAATGAAGCAGAATCTAACAAAGTAGATGATCATGCTCGTGGAAAGCTTGCGAGGCATGAAGGGAATGAAATTGAAAGGACAGAAATGCAGTACAAAGTATTGAACATTACAGATGATAATTCTGATGTTGAAGACAAAGGAAATGATGAACCAGTGGGGCTCAACAAGAACTCATTGCAAGAAGAAAATTCTCAAGAGAGACATGGAGATACACAGGAAATTATCTCGGATCACGATGGTGAGAAATATGTGAAGAATATTAGTCATGATGAAGTTGGAGAGGAAAAGGAGCAAAATTCACAAGTTAATCATGATAAGCAAGAAAATGAAAAGGACCGAGAGAAAGAGCCACAGAGATTGGAGGAGTTTAGTACTAACAAGGACATTTCAGTACAACATAGTCAAGGGAAGAGTGACACTCTAAAGGGCCCAGATTCAGTGGTAGATGGAGTCCATGGATTTAATGATGAGAATGGTGTTCCTGTAGATGGCAATGATCTCATAGAGTCCATAGTGACTGGATCAAGCGATGATCATGCAATGGTTCTACATCAGGAAATGAATTCAAGTTCAAACAATCAAAGTGAAACGAAAGAAAACACTATGAAGGAAGAAGTTGCAGCTAAAGAAGGAACAAATGGCGCTGATTTTGAAGCCAAAAGCAAAATCTCAGTAGAAGACTCAAAAATCAACATGAAACCAAAGGTGGAAACAAGTTCTGGAATTGGTGTTCACGCAAACACCTCAAGGATCGATAGTGTTTCAGAAACTACACAGGGAGGCAGTTCAGTTTCAGATTCTTAATAGAAAAACAAAGGGTCATTAACATTACAGGTTTTTTTCGACACGCCGAAGAAGTTAAAAGAACAAAAGTAGAAGGTGACTTGAGGCAGTAACATTCCTTGGTGAATGACATTGTACAATTTAATTCTGAATTTGTTTTTGCACGTTGTTCACATTTTCTTTGCCTACAAAATGAGAATGGGCGATAGTTTTATACAATCTGGTCCCATGAATTATTGAACTTACTTTTGAAATTGTCCCTGATTTTTTAATTTTTTTAAAAGGTTTCTTACAAGGTCTCAATGGGAAACTGGGGGGCCCTTGTTACAAGGTTCCAACTTACAATAGATATCTCATTGTCATTTTTTCTAGTGACACATGAGCTGGCAACCACTAGCAATGGATTTTGTGTGTGGTGTAAACTATGATAGTACTACTGCACGACTGTTATGTACAAATTGAAAATGATGTTTTCGTCCCCTTCCATGATCTTTAACTTCTACCACATGTTTTAGATGTTAGGACATCCTTGCAAAAGGAAAAAAGGAAAAAACAAAAACATTCATTGTTAGCTTTCTTTCTTGTGTTGTGGTCTTGGAGACTTGGGAGTTCTTGCAAAACAGAATGGCGAATGAGAAACAATTGAAATGGGAAGGCAAGGCTAGTGCAGAGCTCAATGGCCCAGAAGCAGAACAAGTTTGGCCTCTTTTGGAGGACTTCTTTGGCCTGCACAAGTGGTTCCCAACTCTCACAACTTGCCTTGGTGTTGAAGGCATATCAGGGCAACCCGGTTGTGTGCGCTACTGCGCTGGGTTCAAGACTCCAGTTGACCATAAAAGAGAGCAAGACCAAGACCAAGAGAAGGTGAATTGGACCAAGCAGAAGCTGCTTTCTATAGACCCAGCACAACTGATATTTAGCTATTCTATTATAGATGGGAATGTTGGGTTCAACTCATACATTTCAACTGTGCAAGTGGTTCCAAAGGAAGGTGGCTGCAGCATTGTGTGGAAGTATGAAGTTGAACCCGTGGAGGGGTGGAAAATGGAGGATCTGGACATGTTTATTGGCACAGGCTTGCAAGTCATGGCTAGCAGAATGGAAGCCTCTCTCCAACTCCAAGTTGGGCCACTGGAACCAGAGTCATAACTTGTCTTGCTGTCCCTTGTTGGTGTGACTTTATTTCTCTTGGGTCAGCATTAATATTGTTGCAGAAAAGGTATGTATGTCGATCCATCAACTATGTAAAATCCTGCAATAAAATTATGTGTGTTTTTCTGTGTCTGTTTTCTTCTTCTTCTTCTTTATTTATTATTTAAGTTTTCGTATGTAGTGCAAAATTTAAAGATATGTATGTCGATCCATCAACTATGTAAAATCCTGCAATAAAATTTATTTCCTTTTGATATCTTTGGATAGGAATTAGAATAGAAGAAAACATGTGGGTGTGGCTTGCGTTGTTTATAAATTATAATTTCCTATTATGTCTGAATCAAAATTTCACCATTTCTAAGCCATTATATTCAATCGAAGTGGGAAAACAGAGGTATTAATATGGGATAAGAGTTGAAGAAAGTGTGTTAGCTCCCATCAGTCCCCAGTGCTTCTCAATAATGTTTGTAATATCAAGTTTATTGCAGCTTCTATGTGACTTACCAAATTGCCGGTTGTAATTTGGAGGAAGTAAACCAAATGTCTGTACTAAAACAGAAGAAAAAAATACTCTAGTAGTATTTTCAGCGAATATGTGACAGTTAGGCTTTTTAACAGCGGTTTTCGTCCTCTAGCAGCGGTGTCCGTACTTCTTTTGACGGTTTATACATCTTTAGTCGCGGTAAATGTCGTCGCTAAGCGTTTCTATAGACCCCCTTCCGCAGCGTTCTTGACAACCGCCGCAAAAAGTTGGAAAATAATTATAATCTTCTCCCACGCAGGAAACTGGGAGGTGCAAATGAAAAGATAAAAATAAAAACCTCCTTTTCAATATCTTTTATGTATATAAACGTAGTACATGATAACATTACTAAACGTTTATTAATTGGGTACATGAAAATGCCTGTATCAGTGCAAGTTTCTCATGCCATCCACAGTACAGATGACTCCCACCGACATGCCAGCAACTTCTTGCCTGTTATCCTTTCTCAATCCTTCTTTGAGATGGTCTCTCTTAGAAATTCCACACCAACAAAAGTCAGAGCTGAAACTGAATTATTCTCAATCCTGGGAATGCTACCTCTGAGCAACCTCCTGTGCATCGTCAGCCATCCTTGTGCTACTTTGCATATAACAGCCATTGTACCTAAAGTTCACAACAAACATTAGATGGAAACTGTAAAATCGTTCTTCTATCACATCTAACTTTCATCCCATGAGTAAATGTGAGGCCTATATCAAATATGTCAGGTCGAAAGGAAAGCTCAGTTTGAAATAACAATCAACACAAACTTTACCAAAGTACATATTTTCTGACTATAGCCCATCAATTATGTACCCAATATTTAAAATATTCTGTTATCTGGCTATGAGATTCAACCAAAATGGTGGGAAAAGGTGCATTGATAAAACAACTATAGCATTGTAAAATCCCCTCAATAATCACAAAGGATAAATGGTGTTTGTGTCTGTGGACCAAGGTGGTCAGCGTTCACATACACAACAGCTGACACAATACGATGCCAAGCCTTGCTCGGATAACATTAAGTACTCTAACAACACAACATGATGCTTGCAACAAATTTTTTTTTTTCCTACACTAAAAACTAAAAGTTATATGAAAGTAATAATAATAAAAATTAAAAACCACATATAGAACTGATACCTCAAGGTTGATCCCTGTACTTGCAATCTTGGTTTGATCACATCGAAGGCACTGGTAAGATATTTGCACTAATGCCTGACCAATTCGAATCAAGTATAAATTACCCTACAGAAAATGCTGAATGCAATTATACAAGACTTAAACCAGCACCAAGTAGGACAAAGTTTAAGCAAGGTACATACCACCAGACAATCCTAGTATGAGTCCCTCAACAGAACTATCAATATGGAAATTGGGATTGCCTGTGGACTTTTACTTCCCATACTGCTGCAAAGTTTCAAGCCTTCATAATAACCTGCATACCAGAAATAAGAACCAGAGCTAATTAAGTTAAAAGCAACAGAATAATGACAACTAAATCATTTAGAGGCCAAAATCCTAACTGCCTATCATTTGCCAATCATAAAAGAAAGTATGTCTGAACTACTGTACTCATGGTAAAACTGAATTGCATGTAGTACAAACTCAAACTAAGTTAACTTCTCTTTTCTTATAAGAAACAGAGCTCTTATTAATGAAAATAGTGTTACAAGGACGATAAACGAAATGTCCATCTAAATACTGTTAGCATCCTCAATCTCAAATGCTATTCACAATAAGATCAAACTAAGAATTCAGTGGTCAAGACTCTTAATTGCCTGATCTCCATCATAATGAAAATAGGGAGAAGAGGGAAGGAGGAGGAGGGAACACCATACATTTGGATACCAGGCTTCATAGGTAAGCTATGCCTTTAGCAAGAAAATAAAATGCCATATCCAATGCTTGAAATTTTGCTTTCTTACATACAATTTACATGAAGTTAAATGCCATCCATATGATTGCATATCAAAAAAATTGAGCTTTATTACCCACTAGTCATCAATGTTACATCTACAACATCTTTACTCTATACCTGACTTGCACAAAGAATAACTTGCTCTGAATACGTGTCTTTACGGTGCCAACCAGATGCATCATTCCTTCCCCACATGCCCCAGCAATAGCTCCCCCAAGAAACTCCTTCCAAACTACATTGACAGATTAAAAAGTCAATTACCAACTTCCCACTTCTACAGATATTTGAAAATTCTACTAATCAAAACATTACAACCGAATAACCAAACAAAATTTTTATACACATTGTCATATACAATTATACGTTCAATAAATATCAAAATCCTTGAGTTCTTTTATTCCCCAACAATATTTTTTCATAATTAAACAGAATATTTCCTTTGATTTCTAACGCTGGCTGAATTAGTTTCTTTATTACTGAAAATCTGAAAAATAAAAATTGGTTTTTAAGTTGCTTCAAATTCCAAACATGCGTAAAGTTGCTTCAAATTCCAAACATGCGTAGTTAAACCTATCTTTAAAATTCAATGGATGCATTTAGCTAGAAGATTAAAGTTTTAATCTTTCATTATAAGTTTCACTGCTTGATGTCTTCCAACGATCCTAATATGTCAGAATCAAAATTTTCTTTTTTACTTTTTAAAAATTCTCTCTGTTTCTAGGTCATAAGATTCCTATAATCGAAATTATTAAAGTGGGAAAATAGAGAATTGGAGGCTTACCACAGGAAAAAGATAATGAAAGCTTTGATTTTTGATATGCTATGTAATTTGGGAAAAGCAGTCGCAGAGGGATTTTGATTTCGCCGTCGAATCGTCGATGACACCCCTCTCCCTTTCTGTCTCTCCCGATCAAATCGTCGATTGGGCCTGTGGCATCGATTGGGCCTCTGCCTCAGGAGACGAGTTTGGGGTGTCGCTTTTTGGACTTTGGCTCTGTTGGGGTTCTCTGTTGGGCTTTGTTTCTAGTCCTTTCATTGAATGAAATTTCAAATGACAAAAAATAAAAATAAAATAAAAATGAATAATTACGATGTGTTGGGGATGTTGTTATTTCTTGAGGACCCAAATTAGAAAAACAAGGCAACGGGGTTTATTCCAGTGAAAAATAGTTTTGACTTGAAAAAAGGTGATCTCAAGTGCGCATTGATAGTGTGTGTAAGAAACTCCCTTACTATTGCTTGTATATATATTTTTTTTTAAGTTTAGCCAAGCACACCATAAATTAAAATTTTGCAACATTTTTAAATGAACAACCAAAATTGAGCTGTGGGCAGAGCATCAATCATGCCAAACTCATTGAATCGGCGGATCAATCAGAATTATAGTAAAACGAGTTTGGTTTTGACCCCTTAACAAAAAAAAAAAAAAAAAAAAAAAAAAAAAAAAAAAAATAGGTTCAGTTGCGATTAAGGAATAAATGTTTTTATTTTATTTTATATTTTATACTAAATTGAAGGTAGAAGATGGATTACTCATGAAGAAAATTTATCCTGTCTAATCTCCACAAAATGGTAGGATAACAACACCTTATAACTAATCTCCTCTAATCCCCCTTATATGGAAAGTTATTCACCCCTACCTTCATATCCCTCTTTAATATACCTTAGATTTAGTGACTTTTTCAATCCAATCCAATACGAGTCAACAAACATGGCCTTAATGTATTGTAAACCGGCCTAAATTGAACCAAACTAGTCACTTACATTTTTATTTTACACTCGTAGTCCTTTCATTAGATAATTACTAGAGAAAGATGGTGATTTGAAGTTTGATGACATGTTGAACTCAAGAATCGAAAATGAAAAGGACTGCGAAAAAGAGCCATACAGAGTAGAGTTTAGTACTAACAAGGACATTTCAGTAGAACATAGTAGGAAGACTGACACTCTTCATGTCCAGATGAAGTGGTAGATAGAGTCCATGGTTTTGATGATGAGAATGGTGTTTCTTTAGATGGCAATGATCCCAGTCGAGGTCGACCACAATTTCCCAAGCATAGAGCCCATAGTGACTGGATCAAGCGGTGATCATGCAATGGTTGTGCATCAGGAAATGAGTTCAAGTTCAAACAATCAAAGTTAAACTAACGAAAGCACTGTAAATGAAGAAGTTGCATCCAAAGAAGGAACAAATGGTGCCGATTTTGAAGCCAAAAGCAAAATCTCAGTAGAAGATTAAAAAATTGCCATTAAACCTAAGGTGGAAACAAGTTCTGGAATTGGTGTTTACACAGGCACCTCAAGGATCGATAGCGTTTCAGAAACTACACAGGGAGGCAGTTCAGTTTCAGATTCTTAATAATAATAATAACGGGTCATTTTTTTCATTAACTTTACAAGTATTTCCACACGCAGAAGAATTAGTAACTTTTCTTTTGGTCAATGACATTGTACAATCTAATTACGAATTGTTTTGCAAGTTGTTGACATGTTCTTTGCCTACAACATGAGAATGGGCGACAGTTTTGTTGTCGACTCTCTTGCAGGAAAAAAGGATATATGTACATTAAAACTCACTTTTCAAATTGTCACAAAAATCTTGGTACAAATCTATATGCAGATACACAGCTTTATATAAACCCTCCTTGCAAAGGAAAAACATACATTGTTAGCTTTCTTTCTAGTGAGCAATTTGTTTTGTGGTCTTGGAGACTTGGAGTTCTTGCTAACCAGAATGGCAAATGAGAAACAATTGAAATGTGAAGGCAAGGGCAAGGTTAATGAAGAGCTAATAAGCTAACTGTCACTCTTTTTTTAAGGCATTCAAAGTTCAGAGAAATTAGTAAGTGGAGCCACAAGAACACTAAGCAGATGCGCTTCCTAGAGAAGCAGTCGGGCCCTGTTACAACTTTCTTACAAAGATTAATAGAATGAAACACGAGTGCACAAAATGCCAGTGCCAGCTAAAAATATTCAAATCGCATTAGCATGGCTCTTCACTGGTCAAGTTCATTTGCATAAGGAACTACAAATTTTTCAGCAAACTTCTGTTCAGTATACTTGCAGATTGTGCTCAAGTTAGGTATTTTCCCAAGTAGATTTCTCTTTTCCAGGTTCTCTATAACTTGTAGTCGTGGTTTCAGCCTGTGCTCAACGCTACAAATAAGCAATTCTGGGTGACTAACTAGAAATGAGATATCAACCTTGCCAGAGCTAAGCAGCGTTTCTATTGCCTCCTCAATCTTCTTCTCAGACGTAGCAAACATCTGGGGAGCCCTCCTAAACGCCACCAAGATATCGTTTTCCGAAAACCCCAAACTCTGGAAGAGCTTCACCTTCAGTTCCCAGGTCTCCAAAGTCATCGAACTCATGATCCGAATAGCGTATAGGAACATCTTGGACTTCCTATCAAAACCCATTTCATCAACCCTTTTAACAAAACCCTTAATGCTCTCCTGCTTATGCAGAAAGAATCTCGGAAAAAGAAAAATGTATTTGACAATCTGCGACGAACTTATACCCAAACTCTTTAAAACCTCAACATTGGGCATCAATGTCTTATCCAAGTCATATTTGAGATACCAAGCAGATAACTTTAAAACCTTAAGCACACCTGCATTAGAACCCAGAATGTTCTTCAACACTAAAATAGCAGGGCCAAGACCTTTATCGGCACTCCGCCTTAAAATCCAGGGGTCTGAGGATATAAGATCGGCGATGTCGGAATCTGAAAAGCCAGTCTTGCAAAACCTTGATTTTGGGTTTGATGGCCGTGTCAAGATTGGCACGAAGAATCCACGGGACCCTTTTAACCACTTCCTCCAGATGGGTTTTGGAGAAACCGCTTTCCCTGAGAAATGAAAGCACCGAATCCGATTCTGCGGTACTTCGAAGAAAAGCAATGGGTGATGAGGCTTTTAAAGCGGCTTCTGGGGAAAACTGGTGCCGGTTGATTAGATATTCAGCTACTGCTACTTTGGGCTTTGATTTTGAGTTTGACCTTTTGAGATTGGAGGAAGAGTAAAACAAGAGAGAGATTGAGTGGTAAAGAGGAGGCCTGTGAAGCTGGACCGAGCTTCTCAGAGAGAATGAGAGTAAGATTAGCCTTTTGTTCATCTGGGTTATCATATTTTTCAGGGTTTTGGTTGGTGAGCTTTTAGCAGTGATTTCTACATGATAATTGAATACAGAGGAATTGGTTTTGAAATATGAACTTGCCTGTGATTATGAATTGGGGGACTCTATTGCAGAACGAACAACTTCCAAGGAAGGAAACTGGTCATCCAAGCTCTGTGCTCTGTACCCTCAGATCTGCTTAACATTTTAAAGTTATGAAAGTTAAAGGCCCAAAGCCCGCTCGTTAACAACCCTTTTTTTTTTTTTTTTTTTTTTTTTTTTTTTTTTTTTTGGGGATGGGGGTAACAATTCAAGTTCATTTAAACAACAAAAATAGGAGAAATAGGAAGCAAACAAACAGAGAAAACAAAAGCCAAAAATGCTGGGAACAAACAAAGCACCATAAATGGTAACTGACAGATGGGAAAATAGGGGGGAATGTAACCCTCCACTTCCCTGGGTTTCATTTTCCTTTCTCATGGAAACTTTGGAAAAATGGGCACATTTGTCATGACCATTTTGTCCTTATAAACAATTTAGAATTACAATATAACATTAAATGTATTTTTTTTAATTTGATTTCATATATGGGTATAATATTGTTGAGGCCCAAAATATCCACGGTTTGGCCCAAATAAATTATCAGTCCAATGCGATATCTTACTGAGAAGTAACCCGATTTGGGCATGCGGAAGTTCATTATATGCGCTTGTACACATGCCATGCCAAGCGACACGCCACGCCAAGAAAGGAATTATTATTCTGCACCTAATCACACCACAAGCTTAAGTGGGCCAAAGCCACACAAGATGTCTGGGGCTTGCTTGAGTGGGTTGTGATATGAATGATAATAAGTTGTCATGAGGCCCATTGATGAGCCGAGAAATGGAGGTTCCGGGTTGCTTGGGAGCCTCGGAACCCAAGCTCATTTCTTAGGCCCAAACATGTGGGTGAGCACAAAGAGAAAATATCTCAACCAAAATAGCCTATTGACTCATCCAAAAAGCCCAAACACCTCAAGCCAAACCTTGGTGAAGTTGGCCCATTTATTTGATAAGCCAATCCATTGTTCTAGAAGGCCCACATAAGTAAAATAAAGACCTGCAAAACCATCAGCACTTTGCTAGAAAACAGAAGCCACGAAAAAGCATGGAAGATCACACTGGTTGCTGGGAGGGAAGGAACAAGTTTTCAAGCAAGAAACTTCCAAATGACCAAAGGATATTGGAGCGCAGATCACCCTTTGAACCAACATGCATACTCATTTCTTTCCATCATCAAACCTAGCCTTAGAAGAGAGGAGAAAAGAAGGAAGAAAGATGGCTGAAAATAGGAGTCTGAAACAGCCGCAGGAAAAAGGGCATTAAGCTCCCAAAAATCCCTGATTTGGTGCAAATGGGCAGAGTGATTTTCACCAAAAAATGATGATTGAAGAGATAAGGGGAGAAAGGAAAGGAAAGACTTGGCCAAATTGGATAGAAACATTAGGATTTCTTGGAAAATGTCAGCTTCTAGCGGCTATAAAAGGGGGCCTTTTCTACCCAACAAGCATCAACCACATCAGAGAGCAAGCTTCATCTCTTACTCCCAAAACCCAGCAATTTCGTGCTCAGCTCATCTTTTTCCCTTAGTTTTCCCTCTTGGCAAGTTGTTCTAACACTTGACAGAGTCTCTGTCAAGCTGCTAGAAAAACACTCAAGCCACGTTTTTCTCTCTTTTTTCCTCATGCTCAACCAAACTTCTTTGCAAAATCCTTTATCTTCAACCTTAATACCCCATCTTTCCCCTAGGAACACTTAGTTTTCTCTTCAGTGCTGAACTCATGACAATTTTGCTCCCATACCACAAACTTCTCATGATAAGTCAAGAATTTATCTATAAGTTGCTGTTGTTTTAGTTGTTGAAGATAACCAAGATGCTTCCTAAAGCTCTACTGCCATTTCGAAGCATTTTGGGGCTTGATTTTCGAACTCAGGCTCAAGGGGCAATTTCTTCCATTTTACTCTTTACGGCAGTCTAGGCCCGTAGTAGCTGCCGGAAGAAAAAAGCCCCTACAAATATATATATATATATATATAAAGCAAAAGGTAGAGAATGGTGAAACATTCAAAATACCAGAAAATACTATTAGTTAATGCAAACATTAAGAATTGAAATCATTAATTAAATGAGGATAATATGGTAAATTCATTTTTTTTAATATTAAAAAAATTAAAATTAAAAAAAAATCAGATAATAGGTCCTATTTTCTTGGAATATAATTACCCATGATATCTTTTCTTAATTTTTTAAAAAATAAATAAATAAAAACCAATTGGCACATGCGTGAGCATGTGCCAAGGGGCTAGTATCTATATATATAAAGCAAAAGGTAGAGAATGGTGAAACATTCAAAATACCAAAAAATGTTCTTGGTTAATTCAAATACTAAGAATTGAAATTATTAATTAAATGAGGATAATATGGTAAATTCACATTTTTCATATTTAAAAAAAAATTAAAATTAAAAACAAAATCAGATAATATGTCCTACTTTTATGGAACATAACTACCCATATTATATTTTCTTAATTCTAAAAATAAAATAAAAAATAAAAAATAAAACCAATTGGCACATGCGTGAGCATGTGCTAAGGGGCTAGTATATATATAATATATATAAAGCAAAAGACAGAAAATGGTGAAACATTCAAAATGTCAGAAAATGTTATTGGTTAATGCAAACATTAAGAATTGAAATTGTTAATTGAATGAGGATAATATGGTAAATTCATACTTTTTCATATTAAAAAAATATTAAAATTAAATGAAAAATCAGATAATAGAATCTATTTTTATAGAACACAATTACCCATTATCTTTTTTAATTCTAAAATAAAATTTTAATTTTAATTTTTTTTAAAAGCTCTTGTAGGCGCGGAAGCGCATGCAGAGAGGCTAGTTAGAAAATTAAACAAACTTTGTTTTTCATTCCTATACAAACCAAACATGGGAAAAGAAATAAAGTGGTATTTCCTAGTTACTTGCATTACTAAAACATGATAAATGAATCTTCTATTTTCCGTCCCTTGGGAAAAGACATGAAAAATTATTTTCCATCAAATCTTTTATGTGAACTAAACGGGGCCTAAGGATTTATTATCTTATCAAGTCATGGAAACTATTCGAAAACAAAAACAAAAAAACAAAAAACCATGAACTCAAGTTTATTGCAAATTGTGGGACTTCTAGCTCTTTTAGCTCAAACATTAGAATTGGTAGTTTGTAAAAAATCTAACACATTGCATTGGTGGTACTACATGTGTGAGTTTCAATTTATTTTATATATGTAAGAAAAATTCAATTGAATTGATTTCAATAACTAAAAATACAAAATTATGCTAATGGCTTTAGCCCAGTAGAAAAATGCATTCACTTGCATATCAGAGGTTTCAGTTTTGAATCCCCACGACATCATAGTTGTATATGAGAAATTCTCATCCTCTGTAGTTTAGACTATTGCTTGTATTAAAATAAAATAAAATAAAATAAATCCTTTCAACTACTTGACAAATTTATTTTTTTCTTCCTATATGTGTAATATCCGTTTGATAGGTTTGAATAGAAGAAAACGTGTGATTGGGCTCCCATGGTGGCGTGTGTTGTTTATAATTCCCTAATATGTCATAATCAAAATTTATTTTTATATCGTTTTAAATTCTCATTATTTATGTGCCATAATATCCAATTGAATTGGGAAAACAGAGAATCGGAAGTCTTACCAAAGATAAGGTTAATGAATTGGTGGGTTTGTAGTAAAATGGGACAAGAGTTGAAGACAGTGTTTGAGCTCCCATGAATTCCATTCCTTCTCAATGATTGAAGTGTTACATTAGTGCAATAAGTTTATTGCAGCTTCTATTTGACTTACCAAATTGCCGGTGGTATTTAAGGGAAGTGAAGCAAACATCTATAAGAAAACAAAAGGAAAAAGCACAAGGAATATGTGACAGTTAGGCTTTTTAGTTCCGGTTTTTAACCTTTAGCTGCTGTTCATGTACTTTTCTTAACGATATAAATGCCTTAAATATTTAGCCGCGGAGAAAACCGTCGCTAACTAGAATCCTTTTACAGCGGATAGATTTAACCGTTGCTAAAGGTCGGAGAATAATTTTAATTTTCCTTTCTATTTGCAACTCTTGGATTTTGGGAGGCGCAAAACATAAAAAAGCTCCTTTTCAATATCTTTTATCACATCTAACTTTCAGCTAATGATTATGCTGTAACATAAAATATTTATCCCTCTTTGCATGATTGACCGATGAAGAAAGTGGAGACTCGTATTAATGGATAATAGTGCAAATTAATTATGAATTTTTACAATTTGTGTCAGAGCCAAGCAAATTACAATTATAAACATTATAGTTCAAGTTAATCATACAATAAGTTTTTTCTCAACATCATGATACAACTACCCGTACAAGTATGGCCGCTATTAGCTTGTGTCACTTCATGCCCTCTGTATGTGAATCACCTACAAAACTGAGGTCAGTTTCTATAATATGCAGACTGGATGTGGTGCCCGACCAAACAGCAGAGTCTCACGAACTAGGCTATTCATACACCTTCGAAAGCACAAGCAGACCACTACTTGGGGCCAAATCTTCTCAGCCGCTGAAATTCAAAAACAAGTAACTTCTCATTCGTAGATCTACACGTCGTCATCTTCATCTGGTACATGTAACTTCTCAATGGCAGCCTGTTGGAACATAAAGAGATGATAAGGGATGAGCAGAGCAAAATTCTTTTGCTCCCTAGGAGCAAGATACAACTGAAAGAATAAAAAGTATGCCCAAATTACCTTAATGGTAGCAACATCGGTTGCTGATGGCTTCAAATCCAAGGCAAAACCAAAATGAAGCATTGCTTTCTCATGCATGTTACGTCGCTTATAGATCTTACCCATCAATGCATACACGCTGCTTTCACGAGGAGAATATTCTTTAACCTCCTCTAACACTGCTAAAGCTTCA